TGAAATGACCATACCAGCTAATTAGATGGCAAAAGAAATGGAAAGGAAAGAACCAGTCATAGGGGCAAATACATAAATTAGGGATGTGAAGTTGGTGGCAGATCAAATTGTCTTTCGGATTATTTCACATGGTATAATATTGTTTGTTTTAGGCTCAATCTCACACAGTTTTACCGTAGGGTTTTGTCCCAAAAGGCTTTATATATCAATTAGAGTGACAAATTTCATTATTTTACCGTAGGGTTTTGTCCCAAAAGGCTTTATATATCAATTAGAGTGACAAATTTCATTTCTTCTTTACACACTCAGGCGATGTGAGATTGTGTACCTGCTACTCGTCTTGTGTGATAGCCTGTCAGTGCCTCTTACACCAGCACTAACCCACGTACACACCCACAAAATCGCCATAGAAGTACGATTAAAAATAAATTTATAAGTGTCCTATAGTAAATTATAAAAAAAAATTAAGATTTTTGACATCATGAACAAAAATAAAATAAAATAAAATTCAAACAAGAGAGAAGCTTTAAACCCTAATTTTCCTTTTCATCTTCAGAAAAATGGTCAACATAACCTTATCTGTTGACTGTGCTCCTTTTCTAGTCTTTTGTCACGTGAACACCATAAGTGGCCAAATTCTACCACTAATCTGGAGTCTGGACCCCACCATAGGGTCCAATCAAATATGGGTTCTTGTGAGACCATTCTTATGCCTGACCACACGATTAGACCTAGTCTCCATTTGGTCAAATAAATTAATAATAAGGGTCGGTCCCACAAGAGAAACGTATACCAGGGAACAACAAAACGCGTTTAAGCCGTCAGATTGAAGACCAAGTAATCAAATGTGAATGATGTCCTGTAAGCTGTGTGTTAAACTAGAACAGATACTTCACGCAATCAAAATATTGAATAAAGTTAAAAAAATTAATTGTGTAATAATTATCTTTCAAAAAAAAAAAATATTAATTGTGTAATAATTTGTTATAAAATCACATGATCTAACACTAATATTCTAGATCATATAGTAATTTCTTAAATAAAATAATAGAGAATGAATTGTGCCAATAAAAGTGCACTTTTTCCTTCTTTTTTTTCAATCTTAGAATTAAGTATGATACTAAGTAATTGAAATAATATCAACATCTATAATATAGATTTACTCTTTAAATTTATATAAAAAGTAAATATGTGCATAATTACCATTAAAAATGTGGCTAAAGATAAAAATGTGAATAGACAGGCTTGATAAAGTAACAAATCATATATTAAAATGAATTCGGTAACTACAGAATTTATAGTCCCTAAATCACTACTCTTGCACACAGGGGACGGATCAAGAAATTTATATAGGGGGTAAATTTATATAGAAGAGTTTTTTTCATAATTTTAGTGGGAATAATTTAAAAAATTTATAAATATAAATACCAAAAAAAATACAAATTTAAAAGTTTAAAATATAATATCAAAAAAATTGGGCGATGCCCCCACTTATTCGCCCACATTAGATCCGTCCCCGCGTCTAGGTCACGTGGTTGGATGGTTCCTCGTCATTGAAAACAAAGGGAAAAAAATAAATTGGATAAGAGGGCAAGTTGCAAAAAATAGAGTAGTACGAGGGTACTTAAGAAACTTAACTATATATATATATATATATGTATGTATATGTATAAAGGCTTACATCTTCGTGCCATGTTCGTTGCACTAACACTGCAGCTTCTCTGTAGAATCTCATATTATACAACACGTAACCTACGCCGAATCCCATATAGCACAAACCTTACAGAGCGAGAGAGAGAGAGAGAGAGAGAGAAATAGGTTTCAATCAATCTCCTCTCACCCTATTCTGGTTTCTTGTGATCATCAATGGCATCAACAGTACGTAAAAGTGAACCCCAGCTGAAGGACTGGTCCGACTCGGACATGGCGGCCGTGGCTGAGCTGCTCATTCAACTCAGTGGAGAAGATGCAACTCATCATCAATACAGCAACAGCAACAACAACAACAACAACAACAACAACAACAACAAAACCAAAAACACGGCCGAGAGAATCAGCAATGATCATCCAAACCATAGTGATGATGATGAAGCGAAGAGAGAAGATGAAGAGAGTTTGAGTTTGAGGCCCAAGAAACGGAGGCATCGATCCATTGATCATATATATATGGTCACCACGCCTTTAATTGATTAATGATGCTGCTAGAAGAGTAGATCTTGATGAAAACACCCCCTTCCAGTACTTGCTTTTAACTTTTAAGAGGCCGGAGTTGTACATGTAAATAAGAGGTTTGAATAATTAATTAATTAATTAGCTTTCTTATATTTGTGTAAAGAGAATTTGAAACTAACATTTTTTTGCTAGCTATAGTTTCTTCTGTGATTGTTCATATCTCAAAGTGCTTGTGATGGGGATGCTGATGCTCATCTTCTTCTTCTTCTTTTTATTTTTTATTAATTTTTTTTTATCCTTTACAATTCTAGACAACTTTTTCTTGATAATTTGATTATGTTAGTGTATAAGACTTTTAAGATATAACAACCCTTATACTAATATGATATGAGATAATTAATAATATATTAAGAAATGATTAATTAAATATGCAAAATAAAGTAATAAATTAATAAATAATAAATAAAGAACCTGGATCAAGGTTAGTATTGGATACTATGTCTTTAAGACAGATTCGCCCCGCTATAGTGCTAACAGACTCAGTGACGTCTATCTCTCAGGATATAACGGTCTACATCCACCAGCAACAGCATTACAAACTCGTGAATACGGCGAACCTCCTCCGTGTAATACTCTCCCTGACTCAAAAATGCATTTATACTATTTAAATAATGAATTGGGTGCAATCCGAACCAAATGGCTCGGACCAAATTTAATATGGCTCAATGAAATTGGTTTTGGGCCTAAGTGGCTCAGACCACTTAACCATGGCTTGAACCCACATCCACTTGGGTTGGGTTCATCTCGAGAGAGGGAGAATAAATTTAATTGAACGATAAATTATAGTAGTCAGTTGGGTATTTATAGACTTAGAGATGCCTTTTGGTATATGGATATGTCTGTTTGGGATACCTTTTGGAGTATAGGTGTATCTGTTTGGAAAGAACGTATCATTTCATACCTTCAACCGATTCTTAACTGTCAACAACGTTACGTTCTTTCAATGTCTGTAACCCAAAACTCACAAATATGATTATGATTCAATGTCAATCATGCTACCCTTACTTTCCAACCCATCCTTAACCACGTTGAATCATGTGTCAAGGATTCATTATAATTTGAAAATTCTATATTACATAAACATTCTGCATCAATAACTGTACTCATGGGTTATTAATATCGCAAAAGATATGGGACACCACTCTAGATACAGACTCCTTGATAAACAACTTCCATTCAGACCAAATTTCTAACAGATTATTGGGTTTAAAATAATTTATGAAGAGTGAGAGTATAAATGGGTACATTACAAATTTTGAATGTGTGTGTTTGTGTTGTATTTGTGTGTGTGTGTGTGTGAGAGAGAGAGAGAGAGAGAGAGAGATTTACCCCAGGCAAGCGAGCAAAGTTATACTCTCCATTCAAGAAAGTTATGTCTTTGCTGTCAAAATACAGATCACGCTAAGAGAAGATATATATTATATATATATATATATATGACCAAGTTGAGAGTTTTCTTTTGTAATTTCCCTAATTTTATAAGTTGATTGGCTACTATTTATTGCAGTATCTAGCTATATATATATTAATATAATACATAAAGGATTGAATAGTACTTGATATTTTGATCAGCTTTTAACCATTGTGCTTATAATTGCCACAAACGGCCAGCCATCCGGGACACCAATGTCACCATTGAACTTATAATCTCAATCTCTCTGTGAATTAAGCTAAGTTTAATGTTTTAAAATAACCAAGAAATGAAGGTTATGTTTGTTTGGATGTAAAATATTTTTTTATTTTCTAGTATTTGCTTTTAGGAAGAAAACAAATATTAAAATTTAACAAAAATAATAAATTCATCAATTTTCGGTAAGTTATTTTACATGCTCAGTTCGATAGGTTTAACCTCAACATAGACCTTTGCCAAACACCAAAAAAGTAAAAATAAAAAAATATTTTACTTGAAAAAGAAAAATATTTTTTTAAAAAAAATATTTTATGTCAAAACAAACAAGCCGAAAACTAAATCTTCAGAATTTTGAGAAGAAATGAATTAGATTGAACAATATTTTTTACTTCAAACACATTATGGGACGCCTACCCTCAATAAAATTTCAAAGTATGGAAAGGACTATAGAATTCGTCAAATGTGGATTGTTTTGGTTTTATATTATATTATATATATATATATAATTATATTTCCTGATTGTATATGATTGTATGTTCTACTTGGCCCAAAACTAGGTCAGGTTTTAGTTTTTGTGTTGTTGACTGAAATTAATACAGAACAAAGAACATTTATTTATTTATTTTGGATGGTAACAAAGAGCACATTTAGATCATTAGGATTAGTGTAACGGGTGGACGCTTGTCTATTTATCCAAAAGCTCGAACTGTTAGGTAAGGCTGCATACTTACCCATTTATACCTAATCTCTTTCCCATCCGATTCCGATGTGGGACAAAATGACCCTTGTTACATTCTCCCCCACCCAAACTCGCAACGCCCTTGTTGCGGTTGGGCCACCCTGCCTACCCGGGTGGACTCACCTGGACGCCTTTCGGGCCGAGCGCTTGGCGTGGCATCGGCTCAAGGATTGGGTTTGGCTCTGATACTAACTGTAACGGGTGGGCGCTTGCCCATTTACCCAAAAGCTCGAATTGTTAGGTAAGGCTGCATACCCACCCATTTATACCCAATCTCTTTCCCATCCGATTCCGATATGGAACAAAATGACCCTTGTTACAATTAGAATATTCAAAGAAAGTAATACTTCCGTGTTTGCTCTATAAATGGGTTTTGAACTTTCCATGTTTGCTCTAAATTAGTCTCAAACTTACATAAGTTATTAAAAATAAAAAAAAATTAGTGTTTGATAAATTAGGAGATAAAGAAAATGAAATGATCGTACACTAGTTAGATGAGAAAAGAAAAGAAAGGAAAGAAATAAATAAATAAATAAATAGTAAGCTTTTCTATGAATGTGTAGATCAAGAGAATCAAAATCAGAATGAGAATAAGCTATACTAGTGATATATATTGACATATTGTTGCTTCTCTTAAAAAAAATAAATAAAAAAAATAAAAATAATATAAGAAGTGAAAAGCTTTTAGGGGATATCATTCACAATTCTTGTGTGACATAACGCTTTATCTCATTTAAAAATTACTGAAATACATTTATATATCGATCTATATAACCGAAACAACTCAGTATATCCTGTATTTAAATTCTAAGTATTTAAAGGGCAAATACATAAATTGGTGGCAGAATTGCCTTTCAGACTGCTACTAATTACCCTCTTAAAACAAAGGAAAATGATGGAGAGTCCGAATTCAAATTCACTGACACCACCACAACTGGTGGGGCACAGGTGCTTGTGAGGGTTCGGAGAGTCCAAACCATCACCACCCTAAAAGAAAAACTGAATTACAAAACTCAAGATGCAGTGTACGTCAACCGATGTTCGATCTCCATCTAACAATGATAGCAGTAAATGATAACTTGATCCATCAGCATCAAAATTTAGACATCAAGTTAAGAATTTCAAAAGAGCACATTGCAACCTCTCAAGAATCAAGATAGATCACTATTTTGTGCTGCTTGCCTCATTTTGGGAAGCTTGTCACTTGAATTGAAACCCGGGAAAATAATAATAATAATAATAATAATAATAAAATAAAAATCCTGTGTAGCTTCTTAACAACTAAAAAATTTAGATGCTGCGCGCTAAGAATCCTTCCGTCCTGCCATCAAGAGTGATTGAGTAGTTTTCATATCTGTTCAAGGTCAGAAGGTTCCTCTGAATGTGATGAATATCCTTCCTCTTTCAAATGCAAAACTAAGCAGTCTAATGCCTCATATATCAGTGAGCCTTCGGGATGACATCTATCTTGAACAGTAAATGCATGACTCTTCCCATTCACTAGAAGATGACTTTGCCCAGGAGATTTTGTCACTTGATTGCACTTCATCATTTTTCTAATTGCTGCAACTCCATCCCACCTTCTTGTCGATGCATATATATTGGCCATTTCTACATATGGAGCTGCTGCTTGAGGCTCCTCTTCAAAAAGACGATGAGCTGCATACTCACCAATCTCTACATTTCGGTGATTCTTGCAAGCACTAAGCAATGTACCCCATACGCCAGCATCAGGTTTGACAGGCATATTTTGAATGAATTCCAATGCTTCTTTTAGCTTTCCTCTACGTCCAAGAAGATCAGCCATACAGGAATAGTGGTCTAGCCCTGGATTTATTCTATATACTTTAGTCATTAAATCAAAGCACTCCCATCCTTTCTCAAGGAAACCTGCATGACTACAAGCCTGAAGAACGGCAAGGAATGTTATGTGGTTTGGTTTCAGTCCGAATTCCAACATATGAAAGAAAAGGTCCAAAGCTTCTTTGAATTCTCCATTTAGAGCACACCCTGCAATCATAGTTGTCCACGAGACAATGGTTCTCTCATGCATGGTACGAAAGAGTTCCTGGGCATCTCTTATACTTCCACACTTCGCATACATATCTATCAATGCATTGCACACCATTATATTCTTCAACCCATTTGTAGTTGTGTAAAGGTCAACCCATCTCCCAATCTCAAGTGCTCCCATTTGGCCACAACCCGAGATCAAGTAGAGCATAGTAACCAAATCAGGTTTCTCGCCAGATGCTTCCATAGAGTAAAACAACACCAATGCCTCATCCAAATCACCTTTCTCAGCATACCCACCAATCATGGCAGTCCACGAAACACAAGTTTTGTTTATTATGCTATCAAATACATATCTCGCAGAACTAATATCTCCAGACTTGGAATACATAGAAATCAGGGTATTAAGTACAGAAACATCAAAATCACAACCCAGTTGGATCGCATGAGAATGGATCAACTTACCATGATATAGTGCTTCGGGTTGCACACATGATGAAAGCAAGCTCACAATGGTGCTTGTATCTGGGTGAAATCCATCAAAAAGCATCCTTTTGTAGAAGCTAATAGCCTTAAATGATTTTTTAAGGTGGGAATAACCCGCAATCAGAGAATTGAATGAAACCACAGTCCTAAAACCAGCACCAATCCCATCAAATAGCAACTCTGCCACGCGCAAGTCACCACATTTTGAATATGCAGCAATCCAAGTGTTAGCAACAGAAACCTCAGTTTCTAACCCAATTCGGATTCCAAAAGAATGAAGGGCTGTTACCAATTTGAGATTCTTTGTACTGGAACTCAACTGTGTCAATCCCATAACCGTGACAGAGTCAGGCCGAATCCCATCTAGTCTCATCTCATTAAAAAGAATCAACACTCTATCAAGATGACCCGACTGAGCAAACCCCAGGATCATGGCATTCCAAGAAGTAACATCCCTCTGGAGCATTTTCACAAACAGATCATATGCACGATTCAAGTGGTTGCATTTGACATACATATCCACCAATGCTGTTTGTACATATATATCAGACTGAAATGGCGATTTTGCTACATGGGCGTGAATGATTTGGGAGTACGAGGGTTTCGACAGCTTCCCACATGCCTTTGCTATAAAGGGAAAGGTTAAATTGTTGGGTTCTAGACCATTTTGCTTCATTTGGCGGAAGAGAGCAAGGGCTTTCTGGCTTTGACCTTGGTTTACAGCTTCTCCTATGCTGGAGTTCCAATGGCCAACGTTCGACAGATATGATAAACGGTAGAGATTTGGAGTAACAGTAGATTTTAACATCTCTCATTGTCTTTGGCGGGAGAGCAACGTAGGATGTGCGACTGTGTGAGAGTCAAAAGCCAACACCCATGGGCCATGAAGTGTGGACTACGACAGATTTTCTGAAAAGGCCTAAAATAGAACATGGTAAGCGGGTCGGTTTCTAGACGAACAGTATATTAAGCGGGTTGGGTTCGAATGTCCTTTGTTGCACAAAATTTCACCCGTTTCCGTTTCATTTTCTTTCTCACTAACAGGAACAATTTTTACACTTGATATTTATCAAATTGTCCTTCCTAGCAAGGGCATTGGACGGCACATGTCCATGGCCTAATAAATAATAATCATCCTCTTAGGTGTCTGCGATATTATTCGAGTAGTAAAAACACCAGTTTTAAGTACTCCCATCCTATGTTCTTGGGTTCGGATCTCTTTTTCTTAACCCCCACTAACTCATAACTCTCTAAGCATTACCAAAATCCCACTAACTTGTAACTCTCTGACTATTTCCAGGTAAATAAAATAAAATAAAATCATCATCATGTTACCTTTGTGCTCAAATGAGTTAAGTCACAATTTATGATTAAAAATTTTATGATCTAGTGGTATTTCTTCTACTTTTCAAAAAATAGATAGTGAGAGCTCAAATTTCTAAAAGGGCAAAGTAGAGATGTGACTAGAGCGTGCATTTCTTACCAACGAATTTTTTTTTAAAAAAAGTCACAATTTTATATATATATAAAGAAAGGTGCCCTTCCACACTTTGCCATTATACATACCCTCCTCATGCACTTAGATTCTATTTGGTTTTATTTTGAATTCTCTTCGTCTATTATAAGTTTTGTCTCCTACAAAACCTAAAACCACCACCTAATTACCTATGAAGAATCTGATTGCAACAATTGGAAGTATGAAACTATTAATAGTTTTACTTTATTTTTTGTGTTTTTTATAGGGATAGAAATGATGGATGAGACATCTCCATGAAAGGGAATGCGTCCATCCTCCTCTCTTCCATCACACGCGCGCATTAAGCATGTCCCCTGAGAACAAGCAACCTATACAATATGATCAGAAAAAAGTGAATTCTCACCAGAATCTTTTTCCTCCCATTGCAGAACATTGAAAAGAAACCATATGATCATAGAATACAAATGCACGATTTAAGAAACTCACAGGCAGCAAACCCTCCAACCAAAATAAATTCATAATTACAAAATTGTAGTGGACTAAATAATTTATACTACTCTTGTCAGACAAGCTATCAGCAACCATCCAAATCTCATGAATAACACAGATACAATTGACGCGCCTCTTCCTCAGCATTGTTAATTAATTCTACTCAGTGGAATCCTCTCGTTCTGTCTAACCATCCTTTCCACGGGTGAAATCCTCTGTGGCATTGTCATACCCCCAGAAACAATGATCTCTGCAGTGAAATACATAAACTTTAATATGCAAACACAGCAGCAAAACTATTTTTTCCAGTCGCACATCATTCTCTTTTTTTCTTTTTTCACACTGCAGTTCACATTATTCATGCTTCACGAGGGGCAATCTAATCAAAGGTTTGTAAAGCAAAATTTTCATTAGCTGCCTAAAAGAAAAAAAAAAAAAAATGCCAAATTCAAAGGTTTCTTAAGCATCATGAAACATGAATAAATTATTTATCCAAAAAAAAAAAAAAAAAAAAAAAAATGAAACATGAATAAACAGACATGCTGAAATTTTGTACTTGCTGCAGAAGGTAAAATCAGATGTCACCTAATTTCCCAAAAATATAAATAAATAAATAAATAAATAATCAGATGTCACGTCTCTACAACCGCCACCCTACCCCGGCCAAAAAAACCTTATACTTGTGACCTGCTAGACCAAGGACTTACCCTACAAATTAGTTTGAGTCGCCACAAAAACAGATCTAGCAATATTTGTCCTGATCTTATTTTTCAGGCATAGTTAGACCTAGACATTATAACTCCTTTTTCCTAGTCTCTTCACTTCCAGTTCAAAAGCACAAATTTCATATATAATAGAAACAGGTATATCATTATTTCAAACAATATACTTAGATTTAGAGATTTTTATACTTCGTCGGGATCAAAGAAATGTTTAACAAAATGCAAGATGCATGCAATCACTAATCGTCTATGTAATATGGGCATGAATAATGTCTGGTTTAGATACGTCCCAAAAATCGGATTTGTGAAATCCCTAAACCTAAAGATACGGGGACACAACCAAATATTTATGCTCAATATTCTTCTTTTAGTTTCTAGAGTAGGGGTTGTTACTTCATGCAAATGCTAAAAGCTCGAACCAACAAGCATGAGAGAGTCAATTTGTATAAAAGCAAATGACAAAGGTTAGGTCAGTCTCCAGTTTTCCCCTCAGTCACTGACGCATACATAGCAGGACTAACACTGGGTAATGGCCTTCTCTTTTTTCTTTTCTTTTTTCCCATTTTTTTTTTTTTTTTTGTGTCAGCTGGTACTCCTATGTTAAATAGTGATTAATACAGGCACTTCACTTGTTTGAAAGGTAACGCATTGAGAGAGTTTTATGTGTAGTAATATAATAAAAATTATTGTATGCACTTGTTAGGTTCGTGTCCAACCAGACAATAACATGTGGATGCATATCTCATACGCATACCAAAGTATCATGGGCACTTTACGCATTTAGAAGAGTCCATGAAAATAGCCAATTGTTTACTAAACAAATAGTTATCATGCTAAGAAGGGGTCCGCAAACAAAACTGCAAACATACCTATGCCTTCACGAATAGATAGATTTGGTCTCATAATATCCTTGGAGTTAATCAAAAGTATATCACCAATGTATAAATGGTTTGTTGGTACAAATACACTACATAACTCTTCATCGCCATCATCTTTCTGCAGACGAAACAAACAGACAAAAGCCAAATAGAATAAATATAGCGAAAAGTATCACAACAATCTAATAAACATAAACCTTTTTCAAACCCAAGGTCTGATCATGCACAAACCCATGTTTGATAGAGCTCCATTCTTTAAGTTCATAAAAAATGAAAGGAAGAACCCACATAATCTTTTGCAATTAAACTGGCAAAACATACAGTATTTAAAGTGAGACATTTCACAATTTGATTTCACGAGTTGACAAATTGATTTGCTGTTGGGTAAGATATTATGGTAAAAAATGTTGGACAATTAAGGAACAGCATGCTCATTAAATGACTATGGCTGAAATGTGAGTGTCAAGATTGATGTATGGTAAGATAAGAAAGGATAAAATTAGAGTGATTACATTCTTATATATATATACACACACACATATATATATATATAAGAAGTAGCACCTACTAGAACAAAACGTGAAAAAATCAACAAAGATGGTCACACGGGGTGCAGCAAACACTAATAACTACATCCATAAGGAAGAGTGAAAGCTCATATTGAGGGTAATGCAAAACAAACGAAATGACAAAATTAACATATTTTGCAATTTATCCCATTAGAATGAAAAGTACTTGCTACTGTAACGTAAACTTTACCTACTTTATATAATATATATATATATATATATATATATATAAATGAAGCAAATTTAGAAAATAAGAGAGAAAAAGAAAGGACCCAAAAAGGACCAGAGAACTTTCATTTTGGGCCAAAAAGTGCTTATTTACATATTAAGACCCACGGTTTTAACTTTTAAGTTATTTGGAATATGTTTTAAGGCCCTGGTACTATGATAAGGTTGCTCCGGTGTGACCTGGAGGTCGCAGGTTCGAAATGGTAAACAGTCTCTTCGCATGCGGAGGTAAGGCTGTGGGGTTTGGAAAGGTCGCAGGTTCGTAATTGTAATCAGTCTCTTCGCATGCAGAGAGGTACGGCAGAGTGCATCTGACCCTCCCCAGACCCCACAGTGGTGGGAGCTTCATGCACTGGGCTGCCCTCTATGTTTCTAAACTTTCTGATAGCTAAGTCTTCTCTAGTGAAGCTATGGCTACAACATCATCTCAACTTCACTTGTGAATTTATGTAATTTAATATATTGTATTTTACAAAAAGGATTCCCCATGTGACCAAGTACCTGAAGGATAACTGACGATGTGATAAAACCAAATGCATATTCACCCACACGTGGATGACGGATTATGGCGACCTCTTTAAAAGCAGTGGTATTTTGGTCTGTAAACAATATAAAGGTAAAATGTCAGTCTCAATTGTACTTTAGAACGAAATGAATTAAAATTATGAAATTGATAAATGAACTAAAAAGAATTTACAAAACATAATAATAATACAAAATTATTTGTAATTCAGTCCCATATCAAGGGAGCATTATAATAATAATAATAAGCAGAAACTCACCGGCTTATAAGTAAGCCATGTTTTAGTCTCTGTGCAAAGAGCGCATGTTTATAGCAAGAAATATACGATATATGCACCCTTCCATTTCAGAAATTCCATTTTTGACTACAAGGGATTCACTTGTATGTGCAGTATCTGATTATATTTTCAGGGCGTCTCTTTTTCCATATTAACAGTATTAGTAAATTCAAATTAAACAAATGCCTATGCTTCATTTATTAACGTTGAAATTATCCCCGTAAGGGTTAATGTTGCTACACTATAAGGAAACTATTGTCAAGTGAAAATTAGATGAAAGTTGTTTTCAACATATTCAGTTTAATGTGAACAGCATACAGATTGCCTGTGTTGTTTATAATTGTAATAACATCATTGCTATCAGTTCCCATATCCACAAAGGAATATGACACCGTCAAATTCTTATGAAACAAAGAGCACCAAACAAATGATATTTATGGAAAATACCTGCAATGCAACACAATGGAAAGGTACAGACCATACACCTAAGATCTAGAGTGGAGACAGTGGTTAAAATATTTACAATTACAAAAATCTCACAAAAGAATCTAGGTAGGGAAAATGAGAAAACAAACTTTAAGAAGATCATGTCTACATTATTTCAGCTTATTGAGATTATAGGTAAATTCCATACAGAAGAAACTACATATAGAAAAACTGCAAAATAAAGCAATCCTTGCTTGTTGAAAGTATGAAACATTAAAGTAAAATATGCTCATTAACCATGGGTCATGTCAAGAGTGAGAACATGTCATGTTAAGAGTGAGAAGGTGGGTTCGAATATCAACACAGCCATTTTACCACTATGTGAATTAATGCCACAAGGTTTATATCCAACCTACCCCTCCCAGCACCCTCAATTGACAAGGAGGGAGGACCACAATTAATGATGGCCCTTTCTCATGTTTGTCAACCAGGATTCTGATAACTGCACAAATGGGACTAGAACTATATGTGTATTAGCACTAGAACATAAAGTGGTGTGAATAGGTTCTTTCTATTTTGATTGTTTATTTCCATTTATTCTTGTTTTTAAGCATCCATCCAACTAAACCGTCAAAATGAAAACAATCAAGCACATCATAATTTTTTACTTGGAAATTCCATTCGAGAAAAACTACAGAACATAATTCAGAGCTCGACAATCCACTAATAAGAAGAAATGGTACGTCATCACCAGCCAATTACAGATTCTACTACCTAGAATCGCCACTCTATTGCTTTACCTCCGACATACAGCATTCTCAACCAGTCCAGATTTCATCTGATAATCACTAGCCTGCTGCCCTTCACATCAATGCAATCACATCTCACAATCCACTTCTTTTCTAAGAGTGACTGTCAGAGAACCCAAAAAAGAATGAACATATCATAGGTTGATCGTGAACATGATCAGACAGTGCTTCGGAAATCTCAAACTGCATATGAAGAACAATCATTTATTACAGGCACTCGATCTCACGAGTGTTCTCGGTGTTTTTTGAATACCCAAGATAAACGCGCCACTTTCTTTCTATTACATAAACTAGGGAAAATATATATATGCAAGCTTAGCTGAAAAAGAACACACAGTGCACTCTTTATCATAGGGGTGCAAAAATAATGAAAGTTTCTCCTATGCTGCCAGTAAAAAACTTCTGGATAACAACTTATTTTGCACCCCAACTTGCCTCCGGTACAGGACCACCCTCTCCTCTCCCCAAACAGAAAATCATTTTTTTTCCTTTTAGAATATATCACAGGGAAATATGAAAACGTGGTACCAACATTTCTTCTAAGTTGGGGGGGGGGGGGGGGGGGGGGGGTGTGTGTTTCAGGTTTATCAGATGTTTTGTCCCACTTTTACGCATTTGCTTCAGAATTCAGTTACTGATTCATAGCGTTAGTATTTATTCTGGGAAAGCTTCCCAACCAGCTGAAAGCACATATAGAGAAAAAAAATCCAATTTTAAAAAGCAGCTTTAGAAAGCCTGGCCAACATTGTCAAAGACATGGTGACGAATTATTTAAATTAAGAATGAACACAGACCTAGTTTCCAGTATCCCTTTTTCTTCACTTTTACAAGGCGCATATCCATGATACTATCAATTCATGGAGCCTGAGTGAATAATACACACAATAAGCTGCTTGGTGTATGGGTGCCCAAGACCTTGCGATGTGTTATGCATCTTTCCTTGGTGTGTGGGTGCCCAAGAAAATAGTGTAATTGCCTAGGCTTATCCATCTTATTCTTTTCTTCACTTGCTGCCTCTTCAACCTTCAGACTACCATAATTAAGCTGCTTATTCAGTATCTTGGCGCTGGAGTAAAGATCCCATATCACATCCTAAGATAATTTGCAGGCAAGAATGCATGTATTTCTGAATCCTTCAGAACAAATATGGGCAGCACTAAAAAAGTATAAAACATCTAGTCCTTACCTGGAGAAATTGCAGCACTGATTTGTTTGGACGCTGAGTATATATGCTTAACAAAGGGCATTCGCTTTATAAACCATTCTCCAATCGAGAAAACGGTGGCACCCATCCATGATGAAACGAAAACACCAACAAAGAATACAAAAAGTAAAGACGTAATAAATCCAAGGCCTGTAACATAAACCAATTGCCTTCAGAGAAGTAATTATAGACATAGAAGATAAAGGCAGGTATGAAAGTCATGACCTAGAGCATTCTAACTAATTAACGTATCAAATTTAAAGCATGAGGAAAAATAACGGAATTCTAAAATGCAACATACCCTCAAGTCTACTATGTAAATCATTTTCAATTGTTCTTAATAATAAAACCAGAACTTATTTCAGCACATGAAGGGTGCTAAATGTACAAGCTAATATAGTTCAGGGTTGAACAAGATATAAAACATACTCATTTGTCAGAGAAGGTCCAACAATTCAAACCCATCAACGAATTACAGGCATTTCTCAAAATTAAATATGAAAATAAGCAGTCAAAGAATAAAAAATCCATTGGGTTCAAAGATCATAAATACAGTTGGTTGGCAGACCCCATCCTTATGGGATAAAGGCAAGGATGACAACAGTGATAATCAAAGATGCAGTTGGTGCAAAGATTAAGGTCATTAGTGCAAAAGAACCAGTTTGCCCAAGTGGATGATTAAGTTGTGTCAATTACTACTGTGATCATGTTCACAGTTTTCCAGCTTAGCATTCTAGATACTATTTACACAATCTGAGACTCCAACCTACCTTACATTAGGCATTTATCTTATCAATCACGTGGAAAAATTCCCAGTGTGGGCATGCTTTACAAACTCAAACATTACTGCAGCTCGGTGTATGTGAGAGAGACGGGGTGGAGGGAAAGAAGAGAGCTACAATAGAGAATAGAAGCTACGAGATGAAAGAAGAAGAATAAAGAGGGAGCAGTAGCATCTCTCTCTCTTCAAAACCTCCCATAAAAAAAAGAAAATATACCTCTATCAACGGGATTACTGAGGAGATTACTTTGAAGTGAGTACTTTAGGACAAAAAACCCTACTATATGACAAGTATCTTACAACTTTTCATGACAAGTATCTTATAATTTTGATCCACAAAATTTCTTGCTCAGCCCAAAAAAAAAAAAATAAAACGAAATCAATCTGTCCATGTGAGGCCCCATTTATCTGTTCTGTTACATTCTAGAAATCATTGGTGATATTTCAAGGTTTACCTTCTCTTTCTTCTTTATTTTAATTTCAAGCAGTTTCTGAACATTAAACAGGCACAACCAGCCATTTTAAAATCCCTAAATTCAATCCAAAACCTTAACCCCCAGTCATAGTTTATTCCATCTTTCTAGCCCTAAAACCATGATCAGAAATTTGAGAAGCTTTTGTCCAACAATTTCCCACCAAATAAGCCTTAAACCTCAGAAATTTAACCCTTAATTCATCCCTAGCCCATCCTTGTCATCTCAACAATAAGCCCTAAAAGCTAAAGCCCAGCCAGCATTAATTTAATTGTAGGCAGCCTAAATTCCATTAAGGTCCTATCATACATCAATTTCTACCACCAGAATAAAAATAAATACTCTAGACTAGGAAGGAAGAATGTGTTCCATATACCATTCCAACAATCTTGAAGCAACCTCAGTTAAGATATTCGAGTTTTACACCATACAAAAATCTCTAGAAGATAGAATTGCAAGACAAGATGAAGGAAAAATGTTGAAGCCCATAGACATTGATAACGTGTTTGGAACCTACCAAATATGTCGATGCCCAGCTGTGTATATAGCGGACTAAAGAAACCGTCAACAAACTGAATGAACCACCATGTCACAAAAAATGTAACTGCAACAGGGAAGAGAACTACACTGCAATTCCAAAATATAACAGAGTGTCCAGCTCAAAAGATTATAGCAACCAGTAAAGTTTTAAAAGATCTTAGGTAATAGTGAAGCTAATCACCATCCAGTCATGAACTTCTTTGAGACCCAACTTTGTAGAACAAAACAGCAAGCCTGAACAAATGAATAAAACAATCATAAAAAGAACCCGATTAATTTGTTGCAACATCAAAATAAAAATAAACAACTTATTGAGATAAAATAAGCTCACAAAACCAGTATGCCCAAGGAAATATAGGAAGTTCTTTTTATTTGAAATTTACTGTCTACAAATTCATTGTGCATAAATATATGAGTAAGGATGGTTGGTATTTGTACTTTAATACCAGAGCATGTGCTATTATGATATACATAGTCTTGGTGCATATGGAGAGAGGCAAACAGGAAGCCGTTTGAAGGCAAGGATCTTGCTATTCGCAGATTGAACTACATTTATTGACCCCTTCATTCTTATCTGAATGATTTGTCTCCAATATCTAGATTCTTTTGTGGACTTTTTGGATGGAATGTTTTTTCACAAGAAGTATGGGTTAAGACAACAACAACAACCAAACAAAAACCAGATTTTACTTGCATTCTTTTTTTTTTTTTTCTTTTTTTCTTTTATAACTAAAAACTGGATTAAGGAGAGAGACATAAAATATATTCAAAAACTTGAGAGAGCACTCCTAAACAAGACCATTCATCCACCTTTAGATAGATGATCAACATCCAACAACTCTATTTCCATTTTTCCATCCTTTCAAGAACTGCATAAACAGCCCAAACTTTAAGCAAGAAACCATTGATAGCTCAAAGATAGGTAAAGTAAGCTTAGCTATCACAAGCATTATCGACCTTCCAGACAGATGGAACATTGTTTATCCGAACTTGAACAATAAAAGTGAGGCAGAATACATTGACTAGTTATCAAAGGCCAAACATAAGATACAATCCAGTTTCTGGGATACACATCGTCTCACTATCTGTACTTCTATTTCGACAGATTTGAAAACGCAAAGTGTTGGAAGCTCTTGAAATTCAACCCAATTCCATTCTATTTCGTTTGTGTAGTTGATCTACAGATTTTATAGCATCTCCATGCAAACATTCATAGTATTTAATATTTTTTAATAACCTCTATACTATAGGCATTGTGGCGACCTTGTGGGCGGGTGTGCGTGAACAGGTGCAAGGCACTGGCAGGCTACCACTAAGGGTTCACGATCCCACATCACCTGGGTGTGGAAAGAGAAGTGTTATATATGTGGGATTGGCACACTTCAAATGGTATGAGGCCTTTTAATGTAAACCCCAAGAACTAAACCGAGCGGGCTCAGGCCTAAAGCAGACAATATCATACCATGTGGTGGACTGGACTGTTACAAGGCATTGGCAAGGCTTTTTGTTTATAATACTATGCAACACCTATGTTACATGGACTCTTCAAAATTAGTAAAGTATCCGTGTCGGACACATATTGCTCGGACATGGGTATGGGATATGTGTCCGATACTTTTTGTTAGACATGTACTTAAAAGGCATATTCAAGCATTCAATTATATTATATTATTACTTTAAAATAAGTTAAATGCCTATATTGAACATTTTATTAGATAAAAACATTGTTTTACTCTAGAAAATAAAATAAAATAATTAATAAAGTAATATTTAGCCGTGTCCGTGTGTCCTTCTATTTGGAGATTTGACACGTCCGACACATGGATACATACCCGTGTCCGACACACGGATACATACCCATGTCCGACACACGTACTCGAGTCCATGTAACATAGTGTAACACTAGTTAGGAAGCAAAGAGAAATACAAAAGATCATTCAGCAAGGATGTGAGATAGTGATTGGTTAAATTTGTCATGGGATTCATAAAGTGTCCGTATTTTTTCTTTCCCAATTATCGAAAAATCCCACCCAATTTTTCCAATTCGGCGGTTCGATCAAATCTTGATTCATGTATTGCTATCGTACTCCATCCGTTGTCGTCTCTAATAAATATAGCTCCAAGAGTGTTTGGGAAAATAGCATTTTAATTAACTGGAAAAGAGGTGCTTAAGCTCTTTAAGTAGAAATGGTCAATGAAATCATATCCAACTTCCCTAGCCATATAAAACAAATGACCAAAAAACAAAACATTTTATCTCAATTTCAAAATCAAATATAGAAACATTATTTGATTATTCTATTAAAATTAAGAAGTTCCTATTTTTGAAAACTCTTCTACTGTTTTCCTTCCAAATACTCTATAAAGGGTGTGAGCAGTTAGGTTTCTCTGCACACATTAATTTCTTAGACTTGCCACCCAAATACATTATCCAACCTAAAAGCAAATCAACAGGGAATTTTGGACTCTTGCAGCATAATCCAAAGGGTGAAAATTTTCCAAACATCCCTTCCGCCTAATAGTGCAAGAATAAGTGATCCACCAAACTCCTCCTCCTCCTTGAACATAATATATCAACTTTGAAATTATTAATTTCTGCTTTGGATGAGTGGATTTGGTCGATATCTAGTCATGGTAAATTCGAGGTGCAGACCTTCTTTCGGAGGTTGGTTATTCCTCCCGGGGAGCTTTTTCCTTGGAAGGCGGTTTGGTGCACCAGAGCCCCTCCTAGGGAGGCTTTCTTTGTGTTGATGGTCACTTTGGGGAAGATTTTGACCATTGATAATCTGAGGCGGAAACGGCAAATTGTGGTCAATTGGTGTAGCATGTGAAACAGAGATGAGGAGTATGTGCATAATCTTCTCTTGCATTGTTCTATATCCAGAGATGCATAAAGCTTGATTCTTTCTATTTTTAGTGTTCGGTGAGCTAGGCCAAAGTCCACTAATAATGCTCTTGAAGCATGGAGGGCATTCTGAGTGGGAGCTCATGCTCGGGAGGCTTGGAGGGTAGCTCCTCCTTGTCTTTGGTGGAGTATTTGGAGGGAGAGAAATAAGAGATGCTTTGATGGCGTGGAGGCTCCTATTTGGGCGCTGAAATTCTATATTCTTAGTTTTTTATTCTTTTGTGTATAAGGGAATACTTGTAAATCTATGGGGAATTAGTAGATTTTGTGGATAGCTTGAAGGTACATTTTTTTTGGCCTCTGTGTAGTTGTTCCGGGATGTGCTCCCCTCTTGAGCGCTCTTTAATAAAAGTTATGTATGTATACATATATATATGTTTATATCAATTTCTACCAAACAAATGATCCATTGTTGAAACATTTATCATCACACAATGTGATTAAGACATGCCTATTGGTTCGTTGGAATATAAGAAACCAACACCTTTCTCCGGGAAACTGTTATTCCAAAAATCAGCCAACCTCTAATAATAAGATTAGAAGATAATAAATTATTTCCACGTCCCAATAACCACAAACTCTTCATCCTTGGCAATCTCCATGGAATATAGCTTTAAAAATCAATGCAATACACTTCCTAATACCCCATCAATAAAACTCTGAACAACTTCCATGTACTGCCTCTCCCTGCCAAATAACACACTCATCCCATTGCAAGAAGGTTGACAGGCACATTTTTGTAAAAAATTTAAAACTAAATTAAAAGTAAGTGCATAGTTCCATGAATTCCATCCATACACCATTCTCCATTACATATAAGTCCTTTCAATCCCACATTATATTAAATCTTTTGCAAGTACTCTCATCCTCTATGATTACCTCAGTAATCATCAAATGGTATATTAATGCCCAAATGTTATATTAACCATTTTCGAGGAAAAGGGAGGCAGAGAAACAAAAACAAAATAAAATTAATTAAATCTATTGCCTTTTTTTTCTCAATCTCAACCAATTATCAACTCCAAATCATTTTAATTATCGTCAAAAGCTTATAGGTTCACTGATTAACACACCAAGTCATGAAACCCAAGTCCTCGCATTCTTCACTCAGCAAAACAAAGATCCAAAAACTAAGAAAGGTCGATGAAGTAATAGGTTAACGACTACCAACTTCAAGAATAAAGTAACTAAATAAATTCAACACGATTAACGACTGGGATTGAATCTGGGTTCGTAAAATTCTGAAATCTGACCTTACGAGTGGACGAATTGGGAGAGTTGGGAGGAGACTTGACAGGATCTTCGGGATCTTCGCCGCCGCCGCCGCCGCCGCTACCTTGACTCAGTGGAACTGACGTCGATTCCTTCTCTTCCGCCATTTTTGGTTGCAGAGTTGAAAGGATTTTGGGGGAGCAAATTCAACCTTAGCAGTCTTTTAGTGAGGAATTGAAGAAGACTAGAAATCAAGAGTTGTTGACTGTAGTAAAGAGAGAGAAGTGTGTATATAATATAGATATAGATATAGATAGATATATAGAGAGATTGGTATTGTTGGTGGAGGCTATTGAATTGAGAGATTAGTGACACAATTATAATAATGCCATAGATATGGTAATCATAAACTTAGAGCTCAAGGAAAATATATATTACGGAGTATATCATCAATATATGTAAAAATTGTCAATTGCAAAGCTTTCTAGTTTTCTTCCTTCAATGCAAAGCTTTCTAGTTTCCATCTGATGCCAACAAATTTCTGCCACGTCCCCATTAGATAAATGTCGGGTCCCACTACATCACACCATGGGGTGGCACCTTGTGGAGTGGTTGGGAAAAAATCTTACACCAATATTCACAGCACAAATTAAAGTTGTCATGTCTTTTTTTAATAAAAAATTTAAAATACAATTATACAAATAAATAAAAAATAACATTTAGTTTAATTAAATTTTGTCAATATAAAAGTTTGATTGAACTTACAATAATACTGTACGTGAATTTTAATAGTACGGAGTATATTTGAGTGTATGATTCTCATAACATTATTTTTTAAATGGGGTGTGACTCAATTTATATGTAAAAATAAATAAATAATTCACAGCTGAGAGTGTTTCAAAAGCAATCATAAAAGCAGTTGAACTTAATGATAATTCAATTAACATTGCAGATGAGGTGATGGAATGTGAAATTTAATCTTTTAATCATAACAAATTTGCATCTGGTATCTTGAAAGTTAAGAGTTGAAATTTCCTTAAGACTACTATTTACAATTAAAAATAATTCTTCTTTTTGCGTAATGGCTGTCTAACAAATTAAAGCTGCTCAGATCCAACATTTACATATTAATAAATTATAGTCACCAAAATGTAAGGGATCACAAATTTTAATCGTTTTCAAGTCCAAATGGAATCTAGTTTACCTTTGAAACTGATTCATTTTTCTATTATTTGAAAACACAAAATATAAAGGAGACAATATTCACACACAACTTTTCTTCAATTGCACTATATTTATCACTTTATTTTAAAGAAAATGATAAGAAAATAATTAAATTCATTAATGCACAATTCTTTAATTTATAATATCATAACTACTCATTATACAACTTTAATTTTTTTTTTATTTTTTATTTTATACCTTTTTTACTTTCTTTACTCTTTTTTTTTCCTTTTTTTTTTTTTGTTTTTTCCGGAGGTCCTTTCAGAGAAAATAATTTATTCTATACTAATAATTTTATTTCTTGCAGTTAAAAGGGATAATTTATTCCATAGTGACTTTATTTTATTTTATTTTTCAATTGAAAGAGATATTTATTCAACAAAATTTACTTTTTTTTCAATTTTGTCGAAAGAGGTAACTTTATTTTTTAGTAATTTTTTTATGGGTTCTATCCAAAGAAATAATTTATTATATAAAAATAACATTTTTTTTTTTTTTTGACCTTTTTTACTTTCTTTACTTTTTTTTTTCTTTTTTTTTCTTTTTTTCAGAGGTCCTTTCAAATAAAATAATTTATTCTATATTAGTAATTTTATTTTTGGCAGTAAAAGGGATAATTTATTCCATAGTGATTTATTATTATTATTTTTTTTTGTGTGTACAATCGAAAACAAAATTGACTTTTTATCAATTTGGTCAAAAAAGGTAACTTTATTTTTTGATAATTTTTTATGGGTCATGCCAAAAGAGATAATTTATTCAATAATATATATATATATATTTGGTCTTATCAAAAGAGATAATTTTTTTAATAGAGATTATTTTTTTTTTTTAATCATCTTCCTTTTGTACTTTTTATTATTATTATTTTTTTGGGATCTTGACAACAGTAATAATTTATTCAATAAATATATATTTTTTTGGGAGGTTTTTTCTTCATGTCAAAAGAGATAATTTTTTAAATGGTTACTTTTTTTTTATCCTGCCAAAAGAGGCAATTTATTCAACATAACTATTTTTTTTTTTTTGGTCACTTAAAAAAATTTATTTAATTTTATTTTATTTGTATTATCAAAAGATACTTAAAATGTTAAATATTAGAGATAAGAAAAGAAAATATGAAAGAACAGTTGTATTATTTAAAAAGTAATAATTATTTACTTATAAATTTAAAATTAAAATTATTATTTCATTTAAGATTATAATGCAAATGTTGTAAAAATGGAATGCGAATATCACCTCCCAATATAAAATACAAACCCATTATGTAATACATAGATGAGGCTGATTTTTCGTAAAAAACTGCCCTTCTTCCAACCGAAATAACTAAATCTTTAATCACACATTTTAAGGAAAAAATAAAAAATAAAAAAAATTGGGCTTATTCAATTTTCATGGATTTGCCCAACCCAAACTTTTGTATGTAATTAGCTTGTGGACCATGCTGTTTAGGCCCACTAGGGTAGCCGATTTCAGTTGGCCATTTGGGCCTACGTATCATTTTCATTAGCTAATGGAATGAAAAAAAGGTTTCTGCCAGTAAGCCCTCGTAAAATTATAAAACATGTTAGATGTTTAACTATTTTTGTATAAAGAATCATGATAATCGATTCTATTATATTACACCCGATTTCTTTATTTTATATATTTTTGCAATAAACTGGATATAATCTTGTTTTCGCTCTCAAATACAACTTTAAAAAGTTTTACAAATATCGTCAGAGTCATTAATAATTCTACTTTTTGTTATATTATTTGATCCAGAGCTCTCTTCTAGAACCTCTAGTTTAACACTATTCTCACAACCCTTGTTTCATTATTAAATAACATACTATAAAAACTTATTTTGTTAGATCACTCATAACTAGGGTAAAAATATAGTAAAATTAAAATAATTGTAAATTCAATTGTTTCTTTTTAATATTTTTATCACTAGTGATTTTACAATAACACAGATACATTAAAAATTTAAAATGTTTCATACCATTTCAAAGTACAATATGTATATACATGTATTTTAAAGTTTAAACTGAATGAGAACAATCGTATTTTTAGAAAAGGTTAAATTACGCTCACACTCTTTAAGTTTGGATTAAAGTCACCCAGCTATAATTTAGACATTTTGAAAAATGACACCTCTATATTTGCAAAATTGAACAATTACACCCTAACTACCTTTTGATACAAAATAAAAATACCTTATTACCCTTTGATTTATGAATTAACTTATCAATTCACCAATTGGAATGTTGAATTACCTATTTAACATTCTAACTATTTTTAATATAACAAAACTAACATCTTCATTGCTATATATATGGATTCATTAAAGATGTACAATAATCTGATTTGTTAAAGATATTCTTCTAGGAACTATCCTAATTTTTTTAATACAATTTTGTGGAAAGAAAAGAACAAATAAATCTTGTGTTAAACTTCAAAAATAGAGTTATAAGTTTAATTATATTCACATTCATGCCAAACGTTTTTGAACTTCCAGTTATTTCCGCAAATTAATTAAACAACAAGGTTGAGATTAGTCTAATAAGAAATTTAATATTTTTCTTCAAATAATTTACGTTGGCAATTTATGGATTTCAATATTTGTCTAATTAAGCCAAATATTATTTCAATATTTTTATAAAATATAAAAAAAAATCACATATTTATCTGTTGAAGAATCATAACTTGGATTTCAAATTGTGTAAATGTACTCCACTGTCGGGAACTGTTGCGTTCCACTTGTCATTAAATACTTAACATTTGTTTTATTAGAAGTTAAACATTAAAATAAAATTTATAAATTTAATACAAAACGGATTGAAAAAAAAAAAAAAAACCCACAATTCAAAGAAAAATTTTAAATTATAAAACATTATACAAATATTCTCAAATGTCATAGTTTTGCTATACTTACATTACTTAAAGTTGATTTAAATACTCTAAATTATATCGGGAGTGTTTTTAACCCAAACTTGAAAGAATGTAAGTACAATTTATCTTTTAAAGAAAAGGTTTTTGTCCATGACCAAACTAAATTTTGTCTCTCTTGATATTTTATTAATCACTCGATTACAAAAAGTTTTTATAATTACTAATTACAACCATTAATAAATTGAGTCCAATAAGAACTCTTTTGACCCTCAACTGTTAAACATATCAAAATTTTTATTTATTTATTTATTATAATGATAATTAGAGTGGACCTCACAATTTACCACCCAAGATGTACATCCACGGGATATTTATTAAGCTTAATGATTCATTTTATTAACTAATACACTCCAGCCCAACATTCACGAGTAAGTAAACTCACAAGACTTTTGGCGTGGAAAGGAAAGTTCCCTGATCTTTTTCAAAAGAGAGGAACGAAGTGGTCCCGCACCAGCTCCACCGCTCCCCCTATTACCCGCCACCATCTCACAATTACCATTTGGCGGGAAACTCCTATAGCTTCCCAAACACGATAGAGGGAAACCCTAATTTACAAAAAATTTCAAACCCACTCTGTCTCTCTCTTTCGTTATATAAATCCTTACTGACACTACATCCTATCCGTGCCTCAAAACTATTCGATAGAAGTCCTCACTGAGAATACGCTTTTCATTCAGCGAAAGAAAGATGTATGTGGTGAAGAGAGATGGTCGTCAAGAGCCGGTGCATTTCGACAAGATCACTGCTCGCCTGAAGAAACTCAGTTATGGCCTCAGCACCGATCACTGTGATCCAGTGCTTGTGTCCCAGAAGGTCTGCGCCGGTGTCTACAGGGGCGTCACCACAAGCCAGCTTGATGAATTGGCAGCCGAAACCGCCGCCGCCATGACGACAAATCACCCTGATTATGCTTGTGTAAGTTTTTGCCATCCCATCGTTGATAATTCTGTTCTGGGTTTGGTTCTTAATTTCAATTTGTTAATCTTTTGTTACGGGTTTTCCATTTATTATTTGATTTTTCTTTCTGGGGTTGTTTTGTTTCTTCAATATGGTTGATTTTTAGTCCCAGATTTCAGACGTATATAAGTACGCCCTGATAATTTGATGTATAAATGTTTTTGGTTCCAGGTTTAGACTATTGGGTATATTATATACTTGATTTGATTTTGATTGCTAGGGCTTATATGATACATTTTCATATGAGATGTTATATGATGTGGTTTGATTTATCCATTTATTTATGCATTTGTTTGGCTCAGTTGGCTGCAAGGATTGTTGTTTCAAATCTGCACAAGAACACGAAGAAATCATTCTCAGAGACGTAAGTGCCTCCAAATCGTTATCAATATTAAGATATATTGTTAATTATAAGTTACATAATGGTAAATCAATTTGTAGTTCTTGATCTGTGTGTCACTGCAGGATAAAAGCCATGTACTACCATGTCAGTGAAAGATCTGGACAGAAGGCTCCCCTGATTGCTGATGATGTGTTTGAAATAATCATGAAGGTATTTTCAGTTGTTATTTTCTAATTAGGGTCATACATACAGATACACCAGAGGTTATATGAGGATTTAAGTTCCTATTCAAAGTTTGAAGTTTGAGATTAAAGACAGATTTGGTCTTGTTATATGAAGCCATTTAATTTATCTACCGAGTTTATTGGAAAGTTAAGGACCTGGTTCATTACATGGTTTGGAGAAGAAAGTCTTAATATTCAAATTATTATTTTTTTAATTGTTAGTTGTCTTATTGGGTGGATACTGGATTGGAGGCTGGGCGTGTACTCTCTGTGTAGTTCTTTTCTAGGTATTTGTGCATATAAGGTGCTACTTTCACAAAATTTACCTGATAAAATGATTGAATAAAATTAAGGACCCGGTTCATTACAGACTTTGGTTGAACAAAAACTTAATATTTAGAAATTTGTCATAGGCTGTCTTATAATAGCTAGCTTATTCTGTAGCACCTTTGGCTATGACAGTCATATTTAGAACTCTTTTGCTCCATGCTTTAAGAAGTTGCATTAACTTTTTATTTTTCTAAAGCTCAAGTGGTATCTTAAGAAAATTAAGTGTGTTGACCCTAATTATTATTTTACTTTATCAAAAAATCTGTTTGTTTCAGAATGCCGCCCTTCTTGACAGTGAGATAATATATGACCGGGACTTTGACTATGACTACTTTGGTTTCAAGACCCTTGAGAGATCCTACCTCTTGAAGGTCCAAGGGAAGGTTGTAGAAAGGCCTCAACACATGTTAATGAGGGTTTCTGTTGGGATCCACAAGGATGATATTGATTCTGTTCTTAAGACTTACCATTTGATGTCTCAGCGATGGTTTACTCATGCATCTCCCACCCTTTTCAATGCAGGAACGCCAAGGCCCCAAGTATGATAAGTTTTCCCACAATTGTGTAGTCGACTTTCTATAATGCCTTTTATTATTTTTTCCCCCCTTTTCTTTTGTAATTTTGTAGGAATTGACTCTTTATCTCACATAAATATCTTGATGCTACTGGGCAGTTGAGTAGCTGCTTCCTCGTGTGCATGAAAGATGATAGTATTGAAGGAATCTATGATACATTGAAGGAGTGTGCCGTTATCAGCAAATCAGCTGGAGGAATTGGTGTCTCTGTTCATAACATCCGTGCCACTGGAAGTTATATTCGCGGGACAAATGGGACATCCAATGGGATTGTTCCAATGCTACGAGTGTTCAATGACACTGCCCGTTATGTTGATCAAGGCGGTGGCAAGAGAAAGGGTATAATCATTATCTGCTTTAAGATGTCCAATGTTATGCTGGTGCCTTGTTTTGAAGTTTTTTGTTGATGCTAATGTAGGTGCTTTTGCTGTGTACCTGGAGCCATGGCATGCGGATGTATTTGAGTTTCTAGATTTAAGGAAAAACCATGGAAAGGTATTATTTAAATGACTTCATGAGCCTGGTTATTATTGATGCATATTGCTGTGCTTTTGTTCCATAGAAAACTGGATAGGATGATAGTTTCTGCTACTGTGCTCTGATCACATATGATTCATTGTGGGCAGTAACTTTTTTTTTCCTAGTTGGTACTCACATTCACATGCCTCCACCGAGGTTTGAACCCCTTACCTCCCTTTGGAAAGTAAGAGTTTGGTACCGCTAGGCCATTGGCCCGTTGGTCATTGTGGGCAGTATTAGGTGCTTTTTTTGCCATATTCAGGCTTTTTTTGCTACTTAAAATTAAATTTATGAGGAACTCAATTATTGCAGGAGGAGCACCGGGCTCGTGATCTGTTTTTTGCTCTTTGGGTTCCTGATCTCTTTATGCAAAGGGTGCAAAGTAATGGGCAATGGTCCTTGTTTTGCCCAAATGAGTCTCCAGGTTTGGCTGATTGTTGGGGTGAAGAATTTGAGAAGTTGTACACGCGATATGAGGAAGAGGTCAGTTCAATTCTGCATGCATTGTTTGAATTTAATATTCCTTGATTTTGTTTTCATTTGATCTGATTGAAATTTCATTATTTGTAATACCCTTGTTATATATTTAGGGCAAAGCAAAGAAAGTTGTACTGGCACAGGATCTCTGGTTTGAAATTTTGAAGTCCCAGATAGAAACTGGGACCCCTTACATGCTATTTAAGGTAATTTATGAAACCAAACATGAGGTTTATTTTCTTTTTATTCCTTGGTTTGGTTTAAGATTATATTTTTAACTTATTTCTCTTTACCTTTCCAGGATACTTGCAATAGAAAAAGCAACCAGCAGAATCTGGGGACTATCAAGTCTTCAAACCTGTGTACTGAAATAATTGAGTACACCAGTCCAACAGAGACTGCTGTATGCAATCTGGCGTCAATTGCTCTACCAAGATATGTTAGAGAGAAGGTGGGTTATCATGGCATGTATGTTTGAATAATTGCTCTTTGTTGGTTCTCGTTTCTCACTTGGCATTGCATAATTTGCATTGTGTTGTTTGTTGTAGGGGATTCCAATGGAATCACATCCATCGAAGCTTGTTGGCAGCAGAGGTTCTAAAAATCGATATTTTGATTTTGACAAACTAGCTGAGGTCTGATATATTATATGAATTGCCCAACTGCCTAACTTACCTATGTTTAACATTAATATTTTGTTCATGTGAAGAATGACTTATCAATCTTTCTATTGTGTAAATTAAACCGTGCCTGAACTTTTGTTTCCTTTCTGCTGTTGGGACAGGTTACTGCATTAGTAACTTCAAATCTCAACAAAATAATTGATGTTAATTACTATCCGGTTGAAACTGCAAAAAGATCCAATTTACGTCACAGACCCATTGGTATTGGAGTCCAGGGTCTTGCAGATACCTTCATTTTGCTTGGCATGGCATTTGATTCGCCAGAGGTAAAAGCTAATACCCCACCATGCTCTACTTATTCTTGGTTTAAATTGATCAGTGATACTTTATAATTGGTTTGGTGTTGGAAATTTAGGCTCAACAGCTGAACAAAGACATATTTGAGACTATATACTACCACTCCCTGAAAGCTTCTTCCGAGTTAGCTGCAAAAGAAGGCCCATACGAGACATACAATGGAAGTCCTGTTAGTAAGGTAGGCATTTTGAAATGCTTCTGTGCTAGTATGTCAGAGCAACTTGCCTGGTTTTGTTGAATGTCCTACTATTTTGCTGTATATTGCCGATCTTTTAATGGTATTTTGAGAATCATAGTATCACCAATTGATTGATGATTTCCACCTCAAGTGCATTCAGTGATTTGGATAATTTCCTAATCCACTCCAAGTTGTGTAAATATTGAAACAAGTTGTTCAAATCTTACAATCAAAAGAACACATATCTCACCTACCAGAAAGGAAAACTGAATCTTCCAAATGATAGCAAAGATGCAATAATGAACATATAGGAGCTCTTGGGGCCATAATTGACACAGATGCACAAGTCTAGTGTAGGTTTGTTTAAATGGCCATTATACTCTGCAGGGAATTATTCAACCAGACATGTGGGGCATAACACCTTCAAATCGGTGGGATTGGGATGCTCTTCGAGAAATGATAGCAAAGAATGGAGTAAGAAATTCACTACTTGTAGCACCTATGCCCACTGCATCGACCAGCCAGATTCTTGGAAATAATGAATGCTTTGAGCCATACACCTCCAATATCTATAGTCGCAGAGTTCTGAGGTATGCATAGCCATCATGTGATATTCGGTTCCTTCTAAGATCTACTGTGTTGTTTCCATCTAACATTCTACTTCCTTGCTTCAGTGGTGAATTTGTTGTGGTGAATAAACATCTTCTTAACGACTTAACTGAGATGGGCCTTTGGTCACCTGCTGTTAAGAACAACATAATTCACAAAAATGGCTCTGTTCTGACAATCCCAGAAATTCCAAATGAGCTGAAAGACATTTACAAGTACAGATTTGCCATTCCTGGGTGTCCTTTTTATTCATTCTCGATCCTTTTCTCTCCATGGGCTAATACATTTTGCTGCATTCAGGACTGTTTGGGAGATCAAGCAAAAGACGCTGGTTGATATGGCTGCTGATCGTGGATGCTACATAGACCAGAGTCAAAGCTTAAACATACACATGGACCAACCCAATTTTGGAAAACTTACTTCCTTGCATTTTCATGCATGGTTCAAGGTTAACATTTCTGTTCTACGTAAAGTTTGGTGTTTTGGGGTGTTGATGACTGAGTTTAGCTTACTTTTCTGGTATATTAGACACACTTACGATCTTCCTTGAAGAATGGTTCATTAGGTGGTTGGGGATTTCATTGGGACATGTTTATTTTTTATATTTGGGGGATTTCAAACTTATGCCTCTTTTCATGGTGCAAATGACAATGAAAAATAAAGCTAGTGAATAACAAGTGTCATGGGGATGTAGGTTGTTCCTTACTAGGGTAGAGGAATACAAATTTTGTTGGTATATATAAGAAGAGGCATTGTCTGCATAAATTGATCATATTTGTGTGGAAACAACTAACATGTTTTTATTTATTTAATTTCATTTTATAGTAACCCTTTCTGATTTATTTTGATCCTTTTTCTTGTCTATGACAGGGTTTGAAGACAGGGATGTATTACCTACGATCACGTGCAGCAGCTGATGCCATCAAGTTCACTGTGGATACTTCTATGCTTAACGTAATGGCTGGTGTTAAGGCTACAAAAATGTTGCACAGTTTTCCTTAATCCTTTAAATTTATTGATATAAATCTGCAATATGTTTGTAATGCAGGGACAACCGTCGACATCATCTCAGATGATAGATGATGTGAGTACTCAAATGTCCCAGATGGTATGTTCTTTAACTAACCGTGAAGAGTGCATGGCTTGTGGAAGTTAAAGGGTTTCTACGTGGAGCAAGCAAAAGTTGTGTTGCTTTTGCTATGGATTTGGCTCACCGAGAGGCCTTTCCTAATGATAGGATGTTGGTGAGCGAGGTACCATTGAAGGTTTTAGGGATAATGGTTTCAAAAGTGATAAAATATTCTAAACTTCATAGCTTTGAAATCTTTGTACAGGCATAACTTAGTACTCGTTTCATGTTTGGTTATGACATTGTATTTCTATTGGCTTCGTGTATTCATCTATTACTAGGTTTTCCAATGCAAATGGGAGCTAGCTTGATTCCAAGATTTGTGGGTGCTAATGATGCTTTGTTTGATTTGTTGACATTGAAATGGTAGTGCATAAAGTTTGTTACCGTGTTATTGAGTTGCCAGAATGTCTATGAATGGGTTGGCTTTGACTGGTTAAAGGCTTAAATTCAGACCAGTGGGCCTTTGTTGTGTTTCAGTTGGTCTGATTGGTATCTCTTTTTTAATACTTGTGCGTGTATGATTGATTGATTGATTTACCTAGTTAGAGTTTGGAATTTGTTTACAGTCTTATGCTTTCTAAATCTGTTGAAAATATGATTTTTGATGTTGCAATCAATTTTGGCTTTTGTTTAAGGACAATGTACATATATGATGCAAAGAATCGTAAATTACAATTTACAACGATCTTTATGATCTCATTTGGATTGGGCTTAATGAACTATGGATCATGGTCATTACTTACTATATAGTTAAGGCCCAATCCCTCGAAATAAAACATCCAATGGGCTCACACTCACACTCACAGTCACACACGCGATGGCGATCACTTACCATAATTAAGGCCCAAACAAATCGAAGTAAAACACAACCCAACAGGCTTTATGTCGGCTCTCTCGCTCTTTCAACTGGACTTCATTTTGTCGGCTCCGTGTCCATCTAGTCTTCCACCGACTCATGGCTCCACATACCGACCACTTCGTCTGTGTGAATTCACACCGACCCAAGAGTTGACTGACACAAATCAACACACAATAAACTCTTGTTGCCGAGGCTTCGCCACTTGTCAGCAATCCAAATTTGTCAACCACAAAAATCCCAAAAAAAAACACTTTTTAATTACTTCAATGAAAGTGCCGTTTAAACACCCCACGTACGGACCACGTCTCAACAAGCTTAGTCAACTTACATGAAATGGTCATCAACACTTGTTTTCATGCGATATTGCAGTCATGACATTGTTATATATACTAGCTAGTACTCTCTATATAGTCTTGTGCATGTATATCATCATTTTTATACATCAACTAGCTAGGGTGACATACACGTGTGTGTTCAAGGTGGCGAATCCAAGAAACTCTGGCGGCAATCTGGTAAGGCTTCCGATGAGGGGCGAGGAGAGAGAAACAGATCACGGAGGACTGGGTGGAGATGGGATTAATGCAATGTTGGAGTCACCGATGTTTTCAAGGGATATTAGAGAGAGAGAGATGGCGGCAATGGTGTCAGCACTGACTCATGTTGTGTCCGGTGAGGTGAGTGAAGGTGGTTTGGTTAGTGAGGGGGATGTAAGTGGTAATAATGTTGCATCAAATGTAACTTCTTCTACTTCTCCCTCTACTTCTACTTCTACTTCTCTTTGGGGTGTTGGAGAGAAGAGAGACCGTGAAGAGGGGAGTGGTGCGCACTTCTCTCAGTCCGTTGCGAGAGTTTGTAGGGCATATGGTGACATATCACTGCATCATGGTTCATCTTCTAATTTGATCAGATGTAAGCTTTGAGCCAAGTTTTCTCTTTCTAATCATATTTGTATTTATAAAATGTTTCATCTAGTATTAGTTTGAATGCGTTGGTATTAGTTTCATGTTTACAAGTAATACAAGCAGATGCTTTAATAACCTAGTGGGGTTAGTGTTTTTAATTTTGAAGGTCCTCAAGATAATATTATTTATAAAGATGTTTTTCAATTTTGCTTGCTTTAATATTTTTTTTTAATATTTCAACAACACTGCCATTACATATTCATTTAAATGGGAGCCAAGGAAAAAGAGAGAAAAAAATGATATCTAGTAACCAGGAAGAATAATTGAGATGAAATTATTAAGATTTACTTCAAAAAAAAATTGTATAGAATAGAAGATATTGATAGCTTATTGGAATCTCCTCTATTTTTTAAAGTGAAAGGTCGATGATTCAAATCTAGTCCTGGGGCATGTGGGTGTGAATTTCTTGTCACACGAGAAAGTTTACGTGGGCAAAAATTGGTGAATACAACCAACTATCATTAAGAATTTCATCTTTGGACCAAAAACAAGCAAGAGGTGGAATACCACAAAGAGAAAGTGTACCTAATAAAAAAGAAATTTTTGTGATTGGTACATGTTTTGTTAAACCCCCCATAAGAACCATATTCTGACTTTTATCCGGAGAATATCCAACAATAGTTTCCATTGAATGAATAACAGATCCGGATCCTAAAAGCTTATCAACATCAAAATTGAATATACATCATAATTAATAGATGGACGAATGCTTTGGTACCTGAATTTTCATTGATCATTTTTTGTGGTTTGGTATTTAATTTCTGCAGTTACAGAAGGATCAAGCATTAGGACAACAGAAACTGCATACACATACATTCCCACATATGATTATAGTGAATCCTATACAGGAGAAGAGCCAAAGAGGAGATACAGAGGAGTGAGACAGAGACCATGGGGAAAATGGGCAGCTGAAATTAGGGATCCAGTTAAGGCTGCTAGGGTTTGGTTAGGGACATTTGACACAGCTGAAGCAGCTGCAAGAGCCTATGATGAAGCAGCTCTCAGGTTCAGAGGCAATAAGGCCAAGCTCAACTTCCCCGAAAACGTCACGCTCCGGCCAAATTTCTCCAGTTCTCCGATGACCCAATTGACCATTTCTGATTCTCCAAATACCCTTTTCTCGGTTTCAACATCAACTGAGCCGATTGTTCATTCTCAACCATCTTACTACTTGCAGAACCCTAAGACTTACAGAGACAACATGAACTACTACCCTCGGTTGCTTGAGAATTCTGGTGACCTTCAAAGACAACCCACTATTTTGCTGGATCAAATGCTATTGTCATCTTCGATGGCTTCTCATTTTCAATCTTCTTCATCATCTTCTTCAGTTGGATACACTGTTTCATCTTCATCTTCTTCACCACCACCTAATTTTCCCCTTTTTTCCACCTCAGCAAGGGATGCAACTCAGGGAAGCCTCTAATCATAGTAGCGATGCAGATTTTCCGGTGCTAACATCGTCAGATTCTGGGTATTAGGCAGCATTCTTGCGGACAATTTTAGTATATGCATATACCAATATGCAGATTATATTGGTACATGCATATATAAATTGGAAATTTTTAGGACGTTACTCTAGGGCTAGGGTTATCGTTCTTTTTTTGACCTTGCGTCGATTCTATGATGCCAACCAGTTTGTTACTTTTGCATTTGATTAAATTTATGAATATATATAATAAATTTTCTTAGTAGGGGAAAAATAGGCATTTCAAATTTTTTTAACTGCCAATTTGCAGGGGTCAAAATCCGCCCAAGATATTGTTGAGAGGGGTTAACTGCAAATTAAGCCAATATTTTTACCTATTTTCTATGTAAAAGGACAGGGAAAAATAAAACTAATAATTAAAAGAGATTTCAAGATTTTCTATTATTAGAAGAAAAAAAAAAATTCTCTATACCCCAAATCACCCACCATCCCCAGTTGCATATGCAAAACCTAGCATTAAAAATAGTGGAATATAATCCACATCCTATTTCATAAAAATTTCTGTGCCCCACAAGGCCATGTCATGTGCAAGCATATTTCATATCAAAACTAATCTGTTTATCATGATTAATAAAACACGAAAATAGCAACGAGTATCACTAATGACTGAATGAAGTAACCACGCAGAATGTAAACCCTTCATCATCATTTCTACGATCTTTTAGTAATATTTTGCATTTGCCCTAATAACATAGAAATTATAAAAGGAGAACTATACTTGCAGTCAGTGATATTCTCACACTTTCAAGGCAGCTTTGTGAACCATAGTTTCCTTGTGGACTTGGTGGCAACTCTTTCCCACAAGCTCAAGCAGCTTCTCTAAATTCATGGCCCATGAATTTAAAACGTCATTGCTGTTCTTTGTTGTCTGGAAAGAGACAACACCAGTTGGTCTGTCAATCTTTGCCACGAGTTCTTTGGATACCACCATAGCTGAAAGATGTTTTTCAGCTTCCTGAGACACGAGAGAATTTAGGTAAATTTTTTTTTTTTAATAAATTGAGATTAATCCACCTTCAACATATAAACAGGTATAGCATCGCATTAGAAACATTTCAGACAGAGGCAGAAACCTATGATGAGGTTTGCAGTAAGATATTCAGGTATTGGACCAAAAAAAATGTACCAGAATAGGATCGCTGGAAAGCTGAAACTAAAAATTAAAGATTGTTGCAACAAAAATATTGGAAGAAGAGAGGCAGCAAGTTGAAACACACATACAGGCTTCTTGGGGTTCCATGGACCAAGATCTGCTTTCATTAAATGGGCAATAACAATGAACTTTTGTACATCATACCGATGCAGAAAAGGCTTAAAGGAAAAAATGGTCAGCACAAATTGATGTATAGTGGTATCAGAGTCCTAAAAGTATGAGCAGAGTGATATGTAAATCGTGGCTTTAATAGATACTTAAGATGAAGTTTAGAAATCAATTACGCAGATATCATGCCTTGAATCTCATGCCATGTGCCCCATCTTCTGTAAAGTAGTGCTTACTGTTTGTTTGTTTGTTATATTATTATTTTTAATTTATTTTTGGGATAAGCCTGAAAAGGTGTGCTCACATTACCAAAAAGCAAGGAGATCTCCGTAATGAAACAGCCTACATTTAAACAAAACTAAAACACCAGTTTTGAATATGCATAAACCATAAACCAAAACTTGAGATATAAGATTACACATCAGATTTCTTTTAAGAACAAACTTTTACATCTCATCAACAAGTTTGGAAGTGAAGAACTGATTTCCAGATATGGTAAATATTTTTACAGTTTTACTTACTGTTACATTATAATTTATGTCTTTGATCTAAATCTGAGAATGCTTCTTCTGGTGCCTTTAAACTAATCCTTTCCAGATTGAATTGTTGTTTCATGATATATATTCCTAAGAATCATTCTTTCCTATAAAAAGTAAGTAAACAATTTCATCATATTAAATATGTCAATTGGTGTCACAAATATTGATAAAGATGATGTATATATTTAATATCAGACCTGAATACCAAAACACAGCAGCTCTGCAAGTCGCTTCAAGGTGATCCTCGAATAATACTTCGAGATGACAAGGATGTTCTGCAAAGAAAGTATGTCTTACAAATGAATGATTACAAACTAACTCAAGAGACGGAAAAAAAATTATGGCATATAACTGAAAATGTAGTACTCGTAGAAGATTACATGTTCTATGACTCTCTGTCTAAGATCCTCAGCCGCTTTGTCACCTAAAGCACCACCAAGCATGTTCTTTTCATTCTCAAACTCATCCTTGAATGTATTCCACAGAGCCGTCCATTGAATTACCTCCATCGTAATTAATTGTTTCAAGAGCAACCTATGACAAAACAAAGGGCACCAAAAAGCATTAATGGCATACAGAATAGAAGTAAAACCAAACACCATACATAAACACATTGTGTGTGTGTGTGGGTGGGTGGGGGGAGAAAGTGTGCCTAAAATGAGAAATTTCTGAAAGATTCTTATCCTCCAAGGTAGAGTTTAGAAGGCTTGATTGCATAGGAGCATGCGGTGATAAAACTAAATACCAGCAAATTTTTCTTAAAACCTGCATAAAATAAAATTATTAGATAATCCACCAAGACGGAGGAAGGCGTCATTGCAATTTATGAATAACCAAAAATTTAGGAAACTATAAATTGAAAAGATTCTTTACTGGTATCCATTGAGTTGGGTTTTCTTTGACAGAGGGGATCTCATATATTGCCTTATAACTACGACATATTTCAAGGTAGTCATTGCTATGTAGATAGTACCTACACAGATGGAAAATGAAACAAATGAATATGACAAGTTTCTGAATGAAAAATAAATTAACATGAACAATAATACTTGTATACACATTGCACAACAATTCAAATATTCAGCTAGTTGTCACTTGAAACTCCTGCGACACACCTAAATGGAGATGGTTGGCATAAATCATTACCAGTCTAGTTTAAATAGCTAGAAAGCAAATATCTAACAGCAGGTTCATGCAGTCACAGTTGGTGCTGATATTCTGTAGGCCAGTTTAGCAAGTTACCAAGGTCCATGAAGCACACGTTTTGGGGAATTTACCTTTAGAGGAAAAGGGGAGGGATATTTTCCTCCTTGCATTACCATTTTTTTTTTTTGGATAAATAAGCAACACACGTGCAAGCACGCACACGCACACACACCAGACTGCCCAGTTTAGGGCTTGAACTGCTCACCTTTCTTATTAGGGAGGAAAGCTCATAAACAGAGAAAATATAAAAATGAAAGCAAGGCACATACATACCGTATCATTAGTTCATAGTAGACTCGCTTCAACTCTGGTAGCGATGGTATATCAATTGGAGCCTCTTCCACAACATTCTCATCTTCTTTGGGTTTTTTCTTCCCTTCTGAAGTATCAATCTCAAAAACTCTATGACTGATCTTTCTTGATAGGATTTGTGCACGAACATAATCCTGGCGGTCTAAACACAGACGAACCTGCAAATTTCAAGTATCATAAAATCACTGTTTTTATGTCAAATTTCTATTCAAAGAAACTTCTTACAAGGATTCAAAACAATTAAAAAGAAGAAGAAGAAGAAGAAGGAAACGAGACCCCTTACTTGTTCAAGAATGAAAGCTATTTTTTCAGTTTTTGCCATTGCACTAAATGTTTCCACCTGGAACTCAATATTATAAGTAAAGGCTTAGGAGAGAGGAAAACACAACTCAACATATGGTTTGAATTCAACATTCAAACAAAAACATCTAAGAAGTCAATGAACAAAGAGCTTATCCCGCACTAACAGCAATTTCTTGCATCAAATCAGCAGCCTCAGCTATAAGCCCTTGTTCTTCCTTAATCTTTGCAAGTTTCTTGATCAACCGTGCCCTCTCTATCTCAACATATATCTGTAATACCGCGTGTCCAATTAAGAAGAAGAAACAAGAACAAAGATAAGACTTCCAAATAAGGACAGTAACATAGAACATTTTCAAACTTATAAATGTATGTTTACCTTCCCAACAGATACACTGTTAAGGGTTTGAATCATCTCAATCTTAGTTTCAATATCAGGTGTCTCATCAATGTATTGCATGGCCTGCTGAACTATCGCAGTTACAGCCTGTGTAAAAACAACAGCCCCATGAACACATTAACAAAAGATATACGGTAAAAAAGTCATGTGGTAATTTTTTTATCAAAAAGACAGAAAGGCCAAAAAACGGCATCATAGCAGAAGTCCCAGAGAAATTCAGAGCATAATCAAACAAATTTATCTAAAGGAAGTACAAAGAAAACTTTGACTACAAGATTTTGAAAGAAGGGTGAAATATGATAAATAGTATTACACTGGAAACATTAAAAGCTAAATATCGTATCAGTATTCACCAATCCTAAACAAAAAGGACACAAAAAGACACACACGTGCAAACGCCCCTCTTCTAATACGGCTAGGTTATACATGCAAATATGTATACACACACATCTCTCCACATATATGTATATGCACATGCAAACACTCATATATATATGTGTGTGTGCGTGTGTGTGCAAGCTGCCTAAGCAGTATGAATTAAACATGTAAAAATTATCACACCCTATCTCTTTACAGAGTCCAATCCAATTTTTCTTCAATAGACAGATTAGGAACAAAAATTGTATAACAGGTAAAATCAACATAATCAAGTACCAAATGACTTCTAGCCCAATGGTATAACCTCTCCTCCCCAAATGGGGATTCAAGTCCCACTAGGGACATGTGAATAGGGTGTGTGTTTGCTTTAACTTCCAATAAATAAAAATAAATATTAAGATTCGATCAGCAAAACTTGCAAGTCCAATCCAATTATCCCTTCAACTCAATAAAACTTGTCCCAACTACTTAAGGTCGGTGTTAAATAAATCCTAAAATGGCGACTTCAGTAAAACTACATTTTCATATATTTTATTCATTATTTAAACCCATGATTTTGGTCTACCCTTATTGCCTAATAACACCCTTAATATGGACCTAGTCACTCTACCTCATTAGTGCTGGTCCTCCCTGCATAACAAACCATCTTATTTGATTTTTTCTCATTTTATCGCCAGCAAGTGCTACTTGAGTTGTTTTATCAATGTAATCATTTCTAATTTTATTCTTTCTTATCTTACCACACATCCATCTCAACATACCCTTATCATGCTCATTTCATGAGCATGCTATCTCTCAACTATTTTTTAATATGTTCCATAAAACATGATGGTCTAATAGCTGTTTATAAAATTCACCTTTTAATTTTAAATATATAAGTTGATTACACAAAATTCTGGAAAGACTCATCCATCATATTAATCCTTCTTCAGTTTTAGGATTAACATCTCCAATTATCCTCTACATGAGGAATTGAGCAAAATTAACCCAAACTATTCACCTTTTGATATATTGACCATTGGTCTCCACTATATCCCCACTTATACATCTACTTTTACTATTAAAACCATTTTTTAGTTCAACTTATCTTATGCCCATCATGATTCTAAACAAGTTCTCTAGACCTATAATTTAGTTAGGGTAAATTACACTTACCTCCCCTGAGGTTTGGACAAATCTCACATAGGTGGAGCGTTTGAGATTTATTACTCTGACCTCCCTTTAAGACTATAAAAAGTCAATTATACTGTTATATGTAAATATTTTTATAATACAAAATATATTATAAATTAAAAAAAAAAAAAATCAATTTTCTATCTCATCTCTCTTATTACTCTCTCTCCTCTCCACCACCGTTACCCCTCCTAAAAAAAATATTGTAAAAAAATATAAAAAAAATAAGTGTAAGGGCAACTTGGTCATTTTATGATTTTTTTTTTTACAAGTTTTGATAAAGAGGAGGGTTGTTGAGCATACACCAAAGCCTCTGGGGAGGTCAGTGTAATTTACCCATTTAGTTATCCATGCTTAAAGACAAATAGCACAACAAACACACACGCGAGGAGGGTTAATGCTGATACTATTGCAACTCTAAACTAATTTGGAGATCCACTTAACTCAATTAAATCTCTTTATAAACAAAATATCAATACTCAGACAACCACGTTCCATTAACCAAAATTTTAACTAGTTCACTATATTACGATTATCAGCACAAAGTTAATGTATTATTTTCTATACAACTTGATGTTATAAACTAAAATTGAAGTGATTTTATATCTATACCTGCTTCAATTGACCACGTCGCTTGGATAACAACACAATCTGGTCATTGAGGGTCTTCCAAGCACGGGCTTCAAAGCAAAGTTGCAAGATATCAGTTACCGCCTTCTTTGTGCCCGCAACATCGCCTACAAGTCTCATCTGCTTCTCCACATTCAACAGCGAATCTATTGTCGCGTCCAAGTTGCCTCCGACTTCCTGAAACACAAAACGATTACAGTATAGCAGTGAGGTTTAGCTAAGCATCAAAAGAACACAAAAACAGAATACAAGATGTAAGATTTAGAACAAGAAAATGAATTTTCAAATAAATTACCATTTTGAATTGGAATCCAAACTTTGAATCGAAAATTGATTCCAGAGAGAGAGGGAGGATTTTTGTGCGATGAATTCAACTGAGTGCTCGACTGGAGCAGTTTTAAATTTAACCGCTGCAAAAGGAGGAAAAAAAAAAAAATTCTCTCTTTGCTTATTTTATTTTATCAAATTCTAATAAGGTTTTGAATTATAACAACCTTACGGTTTATTGGTAACATTAATAGGGTAGATCTCTTCCTATGTGGGGTAAGAAAATTCTTCAGCACTTTATAATGAATTTAATGGTCAAATTCCAAATCCACCTATATACTTTCCTTTTAATATATAACCACTATCATTATTTTTAGTTTCTAAATTTAAAATTCTAAATTTAAAATTTACTAGTACCACTAATTACAACTATAAAAGGTAAATACCAAACAAATAAAAATATAAATCGTTTCACCTCTGTAACGTCTCACCACCACCAATCGAAATTTTTATTTTCTTCGATGTCTTTGCTGTTACTTTACGTAACAGTCTTTCATACTTCTTTTGCTTACAAAAAAAAAAATGATTATAGTGAAAAAAAAAAATGATGATAATAATAGTAATATTAAAGAAAAAACTAATAAAAACAACTAATTTACAACGAAAATATGAAATTTTATAGAATAATATAATTTTTTGTCGTGAATCTCCTCATTATGTTAATAAATTTTTTTTTTTATTATAGTAGAATTAAAAAAAAAAAATTGTACGACTTATGAGTAATTGGAATGTGTTTACAACTAGTTAGTTGTTTTTATTAGAATAAGTCAAATATGAAATTTCATAGAATAAGTCAAATTACAACGTATTTCTTTTTCACGCTCAAATAAATACGCAATGTCAACTTTAGTATCAAGTCATGGGTATCAAGTCATGGATGCAATTCTCTAACACTTAAATTTTTTTTTAAAGAAAATAAAATTTCGATTAGTGATGAGACGTGATTTCCAAAGGTGAAGAGATTTCTATTTTTATTTTTTAGTACTTGCCTTTTATTCTTATAATTAATGGTATGAAATAGTGATAATGGTTTTGTATTGAAAGGAAAGTATATAGGTGAGTTTAGAATGTGACCATTAAATTTAATCTAATGGTCACTATAAAAGGTGCGGAAGAATTTTCTTACTCCATAGGAACAAGAGATCATTACTCAACATTAATATATCATAAAATCACTTTCTCCTTATTAAGGTTTATTGGTACAAAGAAAAAAAATTAAAAAAAATTATTGGTACCAATATATTAGAATAAATTGGATTAAAATCATAAAATTTTCACCACTTTCAAAATTTGATCATAAAAATTCTAGTCTGTTTCAGAAAATCCTACCAATTTAAAAAGTGATCATCCCCAATATCTATATGCGTTAATCGATTATGAAATGCCACATTTAACCTTTGAAAGTCAACCAATTTTTGTAGTCTGTATATATTTTTTTCCAATTATTTTGTAGAAGACCCGGTGTTTAAAAATTCCAATTTGGCTTTCAACTTTACTGGTGTTAAATAGTATAATTTTGATAGCACAAATGTATAATTTTTCATCACTAATTAAATTTTCTTTTTTGCTCTATTTTGGGATATAATTTTGTGTTTGTCGGTTTGACATACCATTATACATAATTTTAAATTAATTTTGATTTTTTATGAAAATATTATTAAAGTACTGAATCTTTGTTATGGCTTCTATTGTGAGACAGAAATTTGAGAGAGCCAAGTGAGATAGAAGAATAAATTGGAATCCTAATACTTAGTTTAAAATATGAGAGCAAATATAAAATTAAAAATATAAGAAATTAATTTCTTGTTATATGCGTCCTTTTAGCAATTTCATTGCAAGGTAAAAAGAAATTGGAATTCTAAAATCCTAATTTAAAATATAAGAGCAAATATAAAATTGAGAATATAAAAAATTATTAATTACTTGTTATACCTAACTTTTTAATAATTTTATTGCAAGATAAAAAGAGGTTGAAGTGTACTGTTTGGGTATCCCAGCCCTTTGATGCATCTAGTGGGATCCCGCCCTTGATGCATCTAAGGGCGGGTACCCAGGCTAATCTAACAAGTGTTTTATTTGAATTTTAGAAACATTTTTCTAAAACAAAAAGATGAATGTTTTATGGCACTTGAATAAAGAGTTCGGGAGTTTTTTGAGTTTTTTTCCGTTAACAGCTAACAGTAGAAGAGGGTGGAATTTCTATCATTTAAAAATATATATATATATTATTTTATTTTTGTGGAAAGAAGAAAGGGCACGAACACCCAACATTTCTACCATGACCCCTTGAGTCACAACCTAGCTAATGCAACAATGAAGAGGTGCCTAGATCCACCAATGAAAGATGCTCAGTCCTTTTTCAATGGGTTCCGAGGATTGAAATTCCAAGAACTTGAGTTCAAATAAAAAAAATAACTAAATAAAAGAAAGAAGTTTGAAATGACAAAATTATTAATGTTACCGCTCGGAAGGACTTCTAGCTTTGCTTGATCGGGTGTTAGATTTGAAATTGGAAAAAATTTAGTTTAAAATTTGTACTAAATTTTCTCCAATTCCAAATCAAACATTATACAAGAAATTTTCATTCACAAACACCATGCAATCACAAAAATTGATCCATATTTTCCAAACCCTTGTTTTACATCTGTTCTCCAATTACTGATAAACTTGAGAAATAAAAAACACAAATTGATAATGCTAATCCAACAGTTACGAATCAAACAAGCTTTAAATATACAGAAACCCCAGTTAAACATATCTTATACCAAAAAAAAAAAAAAAAAAAAAAAAATCAGTAAGGAACTCTATCAACCGTCTCTTCCAACCCTTGTGACTTCTCCAAGGGAACAAAGAGGGAACTAGGGAAGGGGAGCGCCAAGATCAGTTTGTATTGCACCAAAAAGATTAAAAAAGGGAGGTCAAGTTTCAACAGCCTAGGGCATATCTGTAACTATCGAAAACAATGATTGCTGCGTATTGCACCACAAACAAAATCAACTAAACCATCTCTACTGGTGTTCCTCAATTTGAGTATATATAGTTTCTGCTCTCAGCGATTGGAGTTAAAGACAAGAATTTCTGATGACAAATCCATGCTTGCATTTCTTCTACTGAAACTGGAGTGGTGTCTCTCTGACCAGGAGATGGATTTCTGCAGTTCCAAACCTAAACCAAATTCATCATCGGAAGACTTCTTAGGTAGCCCATCACTGCCTCTGTTTCGAATATCCCCTTCTTCAAGATCATGGCGTTGGGATATCTTCAGAAGATCATTACCAATCTCTAGATCATCTTCTACTTTTGCTCGTCTCTCCCCACCATTATCATCCAATTCTGCTAACCTGACAGTGCGCTTGGGAGGCCTTGGTGCCTCTTCTTGTACATGGGCACGGAAATTGTTTCTTGAAGGTTCTATCTTTGAGCAGAACACATCAAAAAAATTGCCCAGGCAGCCCCGGTCATAGACATTGAGTCTGCTGTCTGCTCTGTAGCGAAAATTCTCATATGTGGTCTGAAGACATCATATTACTGAATTAGAAATATCTAAACAATAAAAAGAAGAATATAGTGGGGATGTACTATATATAAACATTATGGTTATTAGGGTAACAACAAAAAAGAAAAGAAAAAGGAAAGGTCATTTTTATCAATTTGCAGCATTAAATTTAAGTAAATTCTAGGCTGAGACAAAACTGTTGTCACCCAAAGCAAATAAAGGATGTCGCTATCATCCCCTGCCAGCTTTTCAACTATTACTTATCAGAAGAAAACGTGCTAAACTGCTAAAATAATGCATATTTTCACATTCAAAATGTTATCTAAGGAAAAGACCATTGAAATCACATCTTGTAGCTGTAAATCGCCACTAAGCTTTAAAATAATTAGTTGAAAGCATTTGAACTAATTACTTTAGGAGGAAAAGTAAACTTTAAAATAATTAGTTGAAAGCACTTGAAACACTAAGCTGGAAACATGCTACTGAAACATGACACCAAACAGCATTTGTCACACTCCTTTATAAACAATCATCATGTAAATGTTTCAACTTTCCATGTACTAGATGACTTTACACATTACGTGGAACTCCCATGTGGCGTATGACTCAGCATACTGGTCTATGTGACAGTAACCAGGCCGTACCACGTGTCCCAAAAGCATATTATCTTTAATATTCTTATACATGAAGAATGATACCCGTGTCTTTGTGATAAACAATTTGAAAATAACTAGTCTCCACCTGAAATAAGTTTTGCTGCTAAAAACGCAACTGCAATGACTTCATCCCCTCTAATGACCGTTGCTGCATGTTCTCTCCCTAATAAACCTTGCTTAAAATAGTTAACAAAAACAAACCTTGCTCAAAAGACTTATCAAGGAATTCTTCTCCCCAAATAAACCTCACTCGAGGGCGATAGATAAAAGCTCATCTACCCAGATAGAACTCGCTCGAGAGCATAGCAAGGAGCTCTTCTCATCAAATAAATCTCACTCGAGGACCATAACAGGAGTTCCTGATTCTTCCTAGATGAGCCTCACCAGAAGGAGAAGCAGAGGGAAACCACGAAGCCTCAAAAACACTTCGTACACTCCAGGGAGGAAGCAAGACGTTGAAGGCCCATTATGACCTAGTGTACCAACCAACCTATGCAGTACTTACCAAAAGGTTAATTAGCTTCTAGGAAGGACTTTGACTTGAGGCTAAAGGTCAAGGTAGTGTTTAGGGGAGCTTACTGACACTAACAGGTCTTTTGCTGTAAAGGCCTTTTCATAAAGGAGTTTTGATTAGGCATTCTGTGAATACAAGGGATTTTAATCATTTCAAGAACAACAAACAAGTTGATTTTCACGACCTATTTGTTCAACTAACAATCTTAAAATAATTCCCATTGAAAGCTATGAACAATAAATGGTGGTGACCCAAGTGTACTGCAAATAGAAGATTTGTTTCATCGTCTTTACTTGTAACTCTATTTTAGAATAGATGCAATGTATAGAATTTCAGTGAACAAACCACAAAAGCATTCTCTTTCAAGTTATAGGCAAGATGACTCATGATAATGAAGGTCTTGTAGAGTTATAACAAAAAAGATGAAATATTGAAGGTAGTTAATACATAATGCATAAAAGCGTACATAAATACTACATCAATAGCATAATAGTTGCAAGGAATCAAGCATATATAGCAATTATGATGAAGCTGGAACAAAGTTTCATTTCTACTTTTGTTTCAATCAATCACATGAATAGTAAAGGTCCTTGACTAAGGTATATATAGAGAGGGATTGACTAACCCTAGAAATAGAAGACTAAGCCGGAACTTTGCTAGAGAAATCGAAAGAGAGACTAGGGTTTCAATAGTTGTTCAAAACAAATAATTAGAGAGCAACAGCATTTGGAGAATTACAATTTATTAAAAGATCTTAAAAGCATGTGGGGGAGAGAACCTTTTTGAATTGAACTAGAATGAAAACTTTTGATATTCAACAAATGAGTCTATCGGCGTCTTGAGTTTGATGGGATAGTTTTAGGAAATAAAAGTGGGTGACATTGTTAATAAAATTTGTTACTTAAAATCATCCATTCGCTTTGCGAGAAGCAAGTTCAGGAAGCTAGTTTTTTAGGCTTCCTAGGAAAGGACTTTTTCAAGACTTCGACCTCGATCTTTAGAAGTCTGTTTCCTTGTTTCACCAAATACCCTTTTTTCCAGGAAAATGATACCAAAGGTTCATGGAGGAAAGCCCTCAAATAAAGGCTACCTCGACCTAGCTCGAGAAGCAGCAAGAGACTGTGGTTCCTCTTAGGAAGTGCCCACCCTATTACATTAATAAGCTGCCAGACCAAACTAAATGGCACTTTTACTTCAATTATTAACCATCCTCTTCCAATGTCCAGTACCACAAAACTATTCATTTATACAATTGAGCCACCTCAAACCAAAACTGTCACAATGGCCTTTAATCATGCATCACAGAAAAAAACAGTTATTGCTTTCCCATGAGCAACTATATACCTCCTCTTGGCTCATTAAAGGCAGAAGTGATGACTACCACCTAACCAATCGGGCTTCATCGAAGAATCTTGGATTTTGAAGCCCGATTCCATGGAATTTCTCGTAAGAAAAGACAGAAAAAATTAGTGTCTGTATTTAGTTAATTACTAAAATCAAAACAACTTATCATTCATGCAGAGGAAGAAAAAAATCTTGACCAAACAGAAGGAAGAAACTGACCTGGTTTTTGCCTATAAGATATAGGTGGAAGCCAGTGAGACCCCCCACAAACCACATAGAAATGAAACAATAGGCCAATAGTATCACTGATGCAGGTGATTCGTTCATAGACTTCCAAACTGTTCCATAACGATCCATAAGAAATTTCATGTTCAAAGCCGACATCGAAAAGACGAAGATACAGAGAAGTGCTGAAGAAGAAACAAACATAAAAAAGTAACGGTAGTTGCGCTGCACATAAACACTTGTCATTAGCTTTTGAAATGGAACTTTTAATATAAACAATAATAAATAAATAAAAGAACACAAGATGTATTGAAGCAGTTCAATTTACTTCCATTTAATCAACTCGATCAAAAGATACATAATGTCCTTAAACCTAGTTCTCTTTTGTTCGTCCTGTTCAATACACTAAGCGGCCAATTATTCAATAGCTATATTAATCAAGCTATCCTCATCAAATCATCACAAAATGACTTTACAACTTCTCCCCATATGGGTCTGATCCCCTGGATAAGGCTATAATATTTCAGTAACTTCATATCCTAACAATAACTTTAATTAATTATTATTATTATTATTTTTTTTTTTTTTTTTTTTTTTTTTGTGAAGGGTGGGGTCTCAACAATTACTTCAGTATAACATGCTAACAGCAGGGAGCAAGATTAGAGACTCAGGTAAATGTACCGAAGTCAATAAAAATACATGGCCTTAAATCTCTCAAGTTTAATTTCTTAGTGGCCCAACTGTGAACTTTGCCCTGTTGCTGAACTACAACATATTATATAAAGTTTTCACATATTACAAATACTCATAAAGCATCCACAAACTCCTTTTCAACAAGTTACCTGAACACCTCAAATATATTATAACAGTCAAATTTTCACATATTATACCTTTCTTGAATGAGTTTACAGAGACCAATCTTTTCCTGAACTTAAGTCAGACTAAAATTTTCTCAATTTGGCCCAATTAGTTACAATTTCATGGCAAATTTACATAAATATGACAGATATAAGAGCATGCAAATGGAGGGGGAAAAAAAAAAAACCTTGTAAAATGGATAAAGGAAGAAGCATAAAAAATACATACCTTTCCTATGCATTGGCCCACCCAGGGGCAATGGTGATCAAAGCGCTCCACACAATTATCGCATATGGAGCAATGAGAGCATCGGGGAGGACGATACAGCATACAGGTTTCACAATATTTAACCCTCACAGCAAAACCGTTAACAAAGACTTCTTTGGTGCGGGGAAATTGAAGGCTTGGTGTTGTTCTACCACCAACCTCCACAGAGGTTGAAGAATCATAACATAACTCTTCCTCTGGAGGATGTAAATTGCGGGGAACAATGCCAGGGTCCCGAGCTGAGGTCAAAAGAAGCAGCACCAATACCTGTTATAAACAAGGTATTAGTACTAACCATGAGAAAGGAAACAAAGAAGCAGAGTTGGCCCTAGTTTAATTATTAATGAAACCACTCATGCACATCAAGTGCACACAGAACATAAAAAGTTCAAAACCATTATTATCAAGTGGTACCAGGAAAACTGCAAAATCAGGCCAGCCAATTAAAATTTTGATTGCAAAATGCGGACATCATTTGGTTAATTAACTAACTTTTTTCCTCTGTAATGCTTCATGATACTTATCAAAAACTCATTTTTTACTGTATCTGGTTTTTAAATTAGGTACCTTCTTCTCTATTCGTCTTTTTTTTTCCCCGGAAAAAGGTTGGTCCCAAAACAACTTTGTTTCACAGAAACAAAAGTAAATAAATAAATTTGAGGCCAGCTTTTGATGAAGTCCAGCAAAATAACAAAGACCACATAAAGATAGACCAAGGTTCAGAGAACTAACAAGGATTGTTAAGACAATTGATACAACCAGAATAGCATATCCAGCATTATATGCTTGAAGCTCATTGAGAAGATTCCTGGCAACAAGTGTACAAAAGATCACAACAGGAACAAGGATAAGCAGTAAGGTAATTATCAGTGACCTAGCATCTGGTCCAAATATCAACCTCCCACTGAAGATGAATTTCTGCAAATTTAAGACAGACAATGATAATAAGATAAAAATACAGTTGGGGTAAAAAGAATTAGCAAATTCATAAAGTAAAACCCATAAGAAACCTAGCGGTACCATGCCCCTACTTCCCAAAGGGACGTCAGGGGTTCGAGCCTCAATGGAGGCATGTTGTATGAGTACCAACTAAGGAAAAAAAAAAAAAAAAAAAAAAAAACCGACCTTTACATTTTCTTTTTCTTTTTTTTCCAGATATATATATATATAAACAGTGAGATTCCTATGATGAATATGTGTGATAAGGGAAAATTTGTGATTTGTAACTTCACTGTTCTGGAATAATGTGCACTTTATTTTACACACTTAAATATAAATAAAAATAAAAAGTTCAAGGATATCCAAGTAATTTCTTTTCGTGCTATGCAATCTAGGTTAAAAGGTGCAATGAATAAAATTTGCTATTTCATCAAAGTTGGAGGAAATGCACAAAATTCCATACTTTCCGAAGTTGTTGAATCAATCAATTACCAAAACTTTTGTGTGTGCCTTCTTCCCCCTCTCCTCCTTAATTTAGCCTTTTTATTTAATTGTTGTATTCAAAAGTCAGTTTCAACTACAAATCTCAAAGACATTCCTATAGTTTCTCCCACACACAACACTAGTACAATTTTTTGGTAACAGAAATTGGGGAAATTGTGTAGTAATCCTCATCAGGGCTAACAACAGTTTAACACTCTTTAACGATTAAGTTTTTGTCAAACATGGAATTTTCATAACCAAGGGAACAAGAAAAAGTATAAGGTAAATATTTATTATATAGTAAACCTAATTCCCAAGGATAACATCCTTTCAAACATTAGAAACTAATACAAATTAGGACCAAACATAAGCCATTACCCATGTTCTTCCTGCCTATGTGGGGTGCTTGAAAGGGAAAAGGATGGCAATCTAAGTAGGTGATGTGATGATTAATCACTCAATTCAGTAATTCTTAAAAAATCAAGTGATATTCAATGAAGTACTTTTTTTTTCTCAAAAGTTTCAATGAAGTGCTTTAGATTATGCAATTTAGATATCACTTTTAAAAAAAAAACAAAAAAAAAAAAAAAATCGTCTAAAATAAGGATAAAATTTTAAGTGAGAATTAATTTATCAGTGACTATTGAACACTTAAAATTCAAACAAGTCAACTTAAAATTTAGCTCTTAAGATTTTTAATGCTTAATTTTCAGTTTTCACAAACAGAACTTAAGCTTTTAATTCTTGAAATTCTGCATAAACATCTTCATGTGTCCCATTTGCATTCACCACAATCTAATTTCTGACTCATTGACCCTCCTAGCCCCAAGAAAACACACAAATCTTTGTTCCTCTAGCTTGAACTATATGAAAATCTTGTGATTGCATGCACTATTCTCTATGGGGTCAGTTATCAGCCCAATGACAAATACCTGAAAACTTCCGGTGGTGTTTACATCTAAAGAATGGTTGTCTTCTTAATACAGAGAACAGTGAATTTAAACTGCAAATATAAGAAACAAAGCTTTTTGTGTAGATTAAATGTCAAAGTACATCAACGTTGGTATTTCAGATTATGTGATTTCTTTTCAATCCTTCTAGCATGTGCATTCCACGTCAAATTTACTGGGTTGTGTGCGTGTCAAATAGAAAAGCACTAAGGAAGCTTTTCATATATATATATATATATTTTTTTTCATGAATGCAGTAGAACTATTCCTACTCACTTTAAAATAAAAAAAAAAAAAAAAAAAAAAAGACAAAGAACTCCTATAGTGCCTCAAGACAGAGTATGAGAAGTAACCATTTTAACAAAAGGAACTTCTTCAAATCCAATACTTGAGTAGTTGACAACTCATTTGGAAGTCTAAAAGAGAAAGGAGGAAAATGAAAGGAAAAGAAATGATAACATTTATCCTTTCAAAAGATGAAAGAAATGAAATGAAGGTGATAACAACTCTCCTCGGTTGAGAGTTCTATGAGAAAAAAGAAACAAAGGGAAGGTCATAGAGAAAATTATATTATTTTTTGTTTACCAAAAAAAAAAAAAGGTACTAAAAACTCACTTCTTATAGAAGTAGAGCGAAGATAATTAATTACTAACTCATTTTCCTTTCATCCCACTTATTTAAGAGGATGCAAAAGTGGCGCTAGAATCATTATTCTTCCCCTTTTCCTCGTTAACTGCCAAACAAGGGATATCCGTCCACATTTATCATTTTATTTCCACTGCATTTGTTTTCATCCAAATGAAGTAAATCGATAATGGCACAAAAAAGTAATGTTTTAAATCTAATGCGAACATTTCGTTTCAAGAGGTGTCCAACTGTTTTCCTCGTCTTACAAATTATATAAAGAACTAATAAAACTTTAAGCACTGAGTAATATAAATGCTAAATACGGACACTTCAATCAAGCATACAAGCGCACTCGAACTATAGAAGCCGAGTATGCCATAAAACTGTTCTTTTGAAGTAACATAAGTCTAACCATTTAATAACACCGCTTCAAGTAATGACATGCAACATCCAAAAGCCATACTAAAAAATGGCAACCCTTAGTTAGGTCCCTATAAAAATAACAAATAAAATAAAATAAAATAATAAGAAGAAGAAGATAGACATTGAACTATTGAAGTAATGACAAGACCCGCTTTAGCATCCCCCTTGGCTGCTACTCAAGAAATAACTATTTCACACCTGTTAATTTGAATTTAAGAATACATTCCATTGTTCAATTAATAACGAAATGTAATATAAACAATTAGAAGCTGTTGAAATTTACAATCGATATGCTACGAAGCCAATTGTTAGATTGTAGGACCTTGACTTGGGGCTTTGATACGTCAGAATACGCTATGACCAATATAAATCTAGAGGGGTGAATAGATTTTGTCCAATTTCAACTAATAATAACTGATTTTTAAACTTTAATAATTATTTGTAAACAGCATCAATATGACTCAATTAAATATAGATAGCATGCAACCATAGAAGAATACATGATTTTTAAGTGGAACCCCAAACAGAAAATAATCATGGGACCTAGTTTAGGCAGATCAAATCCACCATGAGAAAGAGAGATTGCAACCAAGTGAACATTTCCCAAACCCTAGAATCCATATAGCTACCTCCTAACACAAACACATCCACCAAATTCTCTGCTCGAGTTTCCAGAAATACAATTTGCTCGTCAATAGATCCACTCCCTAAGTGATCTGCTCCTCCGAGACCAGCAGTCCAAGTTGTGTGACTGTTGTGTAGCGACACTTCGGTGTTGAATTTTTTGCATAACACAAGGAATATGATAACACTATGAACAATAAATTACCATCTAATGCATGATCTAGGCAATGAAAAATAAAATATGTTTGCTAAAAATATATAATCTCTTTCTATATAGTATCTCAATGATGTGTGGAAATCTCTCTATATCTTCGAGGTATTACCGTATTATTAAAGCCTAGAGGTCTTTGTATAATGCTTGGAGTCCAAAGGAATTATTACAGTCTTAGTTGTAATTAAATAAGAAACTTAAACCTTAAATGAGTTTGATTTGGAGAAGTTTCCAACAATTGTTTGTTTCACGACAAACGCAGCGAACCAAGAACAAAACAAGAATCACAACAGAAAAGTAAACATACCACACACAAAGAGTATAAAGGCTTATGTGGATCACCCAAAATCTGGCTATATCCACAGTCCGGCAAAAGATTCTCTCCCTCTCGCTCTCACTCTCACTCTCTATCCTGCAATTTTCAATGCTCTCATTGTCCCACTCCAAACCCTAAACGACCTTATAAACCGGGCTACAAGAAGTACTAAACAGGGTCTAAACCCTTTTTTGGGGTCGAAACCGGGTTGCAGTGTGACCTGGGCCGGAACAAAATTCGGACCACAACATCACAGTTTGCATAAGGTTGTCGACAACTATTGTCCAGGGTTCAATCAAGTTACACTGGTAGTGCTTTGAGCAATCAAGACTTTGATTGAAGTAGAATACTTTGTGGAGATTGTCAATCGGTCAAGGCTTACTGTTTCTACAATAGTTTCCATTTTAAATATATTTATTCCAAAAACAACTTTATGCACTCGAAACAACTTTTTATGAATCAAAATATGCATGTATTGAGCAATAAAATAAGAATGAATGATTAGGAACCCTAATTGGTAAGCTAATTATTCAATAGGTAATTTGATGTACTTCAAATTTTGATTCTACCCTTGGACATAGGTACCATCACTAACTAACTTCCTTCCAAAAATCTAATCAAAAGCTAAAAACAAAAATAGAGACTCCAGCTTTTGTAATGAGCGAAATTTGCAATCACTAGTTCTAATACTAACATGAGAAATTCCTTTTATAAAGAAAATTTCGTTAAAAGATGCTCAAAGGGGATGCACCCAGAGGAACAACTACACGAAAAAAACAAATATATAGATTGCTATAATCTCAAGCTATTAAAAAATCAACATCCTCCACACATATACACACCCTTCTTGTAACCCAAAAAAATAAAGAACTCGTAATATAATTTTTCAACACCCATATTAATGCTTCCACGCTATAAAAAAAATTCTGTTTCTCTCATACCACAAACTCCACCATATGCATAAAGGACCTCCCCTCCATGTGTCTCGAACTTGCCTGTACATCCCCTCCAAGGATTGAGAAGATTGGTTGCAAATAACATGGGCCAACGTCGCTCACTATTGGACAGTGCAAGAGAAGATGGCTCACTGACTCCTCATAACCAGAACAATAGAAAGCAGCATAGAAGCCGTTCCCATTTTGGGGGTTGCTTTGGTGTTTGTTTGCAGTACCAAAGGGTAATTTGCTTGGTGCAATTCTAAAAGCTTGGACTAAGAGGTGTGAGGATGCGAGTTTGAGTGCAAAATAAGCCAGTTTGTGTGCAAAGTGTTGTCCTCCCAGCATCCCACATTGGGGGACATAGTCACATACGCCTTGTTGAAGTACCCTCAGTGACAAATGAAGTGAATGCTATTTACAAAAAATCAATATCACTAATCAGTAAATTCACTTCTAAGTTCCTTAAAAAGACTAGCAACCATAATCCTAAACCATCAATCCCAATATCAACAAGAAGCAAAATCATATATGCACAAAACAACAATTAAAACCTAATACAAATCATCCGAGCACAAACTCACAAACTCAGTCTGACAAATCTCAACATACCAACAGGATTAAACCCTAACAAAGAACAAAAAAAAAAAAAAAAAAAAAAAAAAAAACTATTCAAAACAATAAACCCAACAAAACCCAGAATAAAAAGTCCATAAAATCAACAACCCACCTATTTTTAACGCAATTAAAGCATGCCCACATTCGCAAATCAACCAATAATAAAAATAAAAAGGACATATAAATTAGAGGAGAACTTACATTGCTTCCCTTCCAAACTTGGTACACGCGCTTCTCCATGAGGAAGGGTATGACCACTGGCTACCATGTGGGAAGGGAATCGAAGGTTTGGAACTTGGGATTGTTCATATTCATTTTCTTTGCATGGGAATTTGTGCATATAAAGAGCGGTATGAGGTTTGAATGTTGGTAGATTGGTGGGTTTTTTATGGGCTTTTGTCTTTTGACAACTCACTGTCTGTAGAGGGACAGTTGAGGACTTCAAAAGATTGTGAAAGCAGTAAAGAATGTTTTCAGAATCCAACAAAGTATCCCAATAAAGAACAACCCAATCAGTGCGATGGTTCACTTGATGCTGAAATGACCGACTTACCTTTCAACTTTATTAATTTTTTTTTTAAATGGTTTTTACAAAATACCAGAATATGGAGAATTTTTTTTTATTAATCGTTCTGTGATTAATTTTTTTTCTTATTATTATTTTTTTTCGCTTGCGCTGTGATTTCTTTTTCTCACATTCCCCACTCACTCATAGTTTGATTTTTTTTTTTGCTTCATTTTTATTTTTAATTTGAGATTGAGTTTTACTTTGTTGGCGTGTCAACAAACAATATCATATATTTGACAGGATGGCAGATGTTTTGATAATTCAATTGGTTAGTGTCTTTAGTGGACTTTGGTGTATTAGTCTTTGACTCCCTACATGTACTAATCTAACTTCTAACATTTCTTGACTTATTAAAATAATATTATATATATATATATTTAGTAGAATGGATCGTTACAAACGGTATGTTTGTGTACAAATGAAGCTTCTGTTCACTATATTTAACCGGTTATTTTTCATTTTTTTCGTATTTATTTTTAGTTTAGTTTCAAACAAGCCCCCCAAGAATTGTTTTAGATCCCTTCTCACGTGATACTGTGTTGTATAATGTATTAATGTGTTTTGTAAGATTATTTTTATTTTTATTTTTACTTTTATGTTGTGTTAAAGTTTATTATTGCTCATTAATTTTAAATTTCACACCGCTAATAGAAATTTAAATTTATATATATGTCATTATTTAGGTCGTGTTTGATAAAAAATTAAAGACCAAAATTTATAATATCTGATTTTTTTTTTTTTTTTTTTCTTTTCATTCGAAGTGATAGTTGAAATCAGTATCAATCGACAATTCTCTCCTTTCCCGCTTTTATGTTTTTTTTAAGTTATGTCAATTTGCGTATCAATGCACTTAATTAAATATGTACAAATGCACTTAATTCATTATTCAGCTTTTCCAATACCCCTATGAATATTTAAGATAAAATGAAATAAATTTAGAAACAAGCTAAAATAATATGATTGTTATGTCTTGTAAAATTTAATTACGTAATTTTGACATCGAACTTGTATATTAAAATTTGGAACAAGCACTTCCAATCTCGACAACCTTCACTTAATTCGTTTAGAACATGAGTAAATTAATCTTCAAAATCATTTCATGGAATTATATTTTGATTTGTTTGATAATTGAAATAACATAATTCATTACTCTACAAAAGTAGAGTGCAGGCATTTTTAAAATAGGTCTTAGTGTAAAACATTTTTGAAGGATAATTGTATTGTATTTTTAAAAATGAAATACATAATTACAAAAAAGGAGTGCATGTATTGCTTACATTCATCAAAATTCACTTACCTAGGTTAGGGGTGCAACTTGGGTTAGGTAACCCGAGCCTAGCCTGATTTTTCACAGGTTTGGATAATTATTTTTACAATTAGGGTTGGGCTTGGGTTGAAAAATCTCAACCCGAATTTAATTAGGGTCAGGCTTAGGTTGAAATGCTAATATCCCGAGCCAATTCGAACCCGAATTATAATATTATTTTCATATATGTTTTTACTTTTAAATACATTATATATAATATTTAAACTATGATTACTTTTTCTCTTTTCAATTCTTTTATTAAATCTTAACTTATTGTATGTTTAGAATAATTAATTTTCTAAAAATTTGTTTGCAATTTATTAAAAATCTATAAAAAGTCTTTAAACTTCTTATTGTTTAAGAGTAATTTAATCTAAAATTAATTCAAGATCATATTCAATTTTTGGTATAAATGTTAGCCATATGTGTAATCCGAATTAACCAAAGTATGCTAAATTGAAGAAGATCTCATGAAAAGTGGTAAGAGGAAGATCTCATGCATTATTGTATTTATTTTCTAATGTAAATTTTAAATGCAATAGGGTTCTAAAACCCTTGGCAGACATAATAAGATATATTTATAGGCACATTCAATTTAACCTAATTCTATGGAAAAAGAAAAGAAATTATAATATAAACTAACTATATGTATATAAGTCGGCACTCTAATCCCACGTGATATCATATATATATATATATATATATATATGAATAAAACATTATAATTATACAATATATATCATATATTGAATAACCCAATTAATGTAACTATTAATTATAATTAATAATTTACATAAACTTATATACATATATACCCATATATATATGTATAACCATTCATGGGTATTAACTGTACCCATTTAATCCATTACTACTATCTAAGCCCAACTCTTTGAAATAAAATAAACATTAAATTTAAACCTTTAATTCTAATTAAACACCTAATCACATAAAACAACTAGTTCAATTTCAACAATTAAATCAAGTTAAACAATTAAACCCACGTAAGCATATAAGTTCAATTACCACAATTAAATCAATTTAAATAATTAAATAAAAAGCCAAATAATCAACTAATTAATTTAAAAATGTAATAAAACCATAAACTAAATACCGAGACTATCCTTTTAAAATTAAGAGTATTACAGCAAGTATGCCACATATGTAAGCATGAGGTCATATGATGTGATCGCTAGCTGGCAATAGTATGAATCCACGCAACCCCGTCGCCGGTGAATGGAATCGAAAAAAGTCAACGAGGAAGAAGTCCAGCTGACTAGTAAAAAGGAGGGATGGGATTCACCCTTGATCGTCGGAGGATGAAACAGAGAGGAAAGAGATGGTGCCAACTATTTGCCATCAATTGATTTACCATATGCACTAAGAACACATCCCCGATCTCTGTGATCAATTGAAAACCATGCACCGAAATATTGTCAAGCAGATCAAAATATCCTGCAACACCAATCCATTGTCTATTATCCACAGCTACTGGATGTATTATATCGCGGATGACTAAATGGCCCATCAAGGAAGACCACTGAGAGTATATTAGCTGATGTACAATGAGCGAGAAGAGAAGGACAAACACAGCAATCTGGACGTAACATAAGATAAAAAGAAAAGTAGAAATAAAAGGTTAACAAAAGAAACTTGTTGTAGGTGCAAAATTTCGCTCAACCAATAATGACTGAGAAAAATAAAACAACTCACTCAAAAACAATAAAAATAAATAAGAACAATGTATAAAGAAGTGTAGAATTGCTTGATCCTTTATTGGAGGTCTTAGCCTCTATTTATATACAAAAGATTGCAAAATTACGGTAGGACTCGCGTTGCTTGCCCTCCAATTCTTTCTATATAACCATTCTTTTCTAATAGAGTTCTTTCCATTGTCGAATCTTCCATACATAGAAATTGCCTTGTACAGAACTTCCTATCCGAATTTTCCTTCTACAGTAAATCCTTCAAATGGTAAGATTTGCGCATTCTTGGGCTGAATATATTTTGATCCGGCTGGGCTTGGGTAACAGGCCGGATGTTAAATACTCATACGCTGGGCTGACGACAAGCTGGGCTGATGACTTCTTGATTCGGTCTTGATGGAAGTTGGAGGATAACTAACAATGGTCTTGGGCTGTAAATACCCTCAATTTGGGCTTGAGCATGATGGGCCTTATATGTCCTTGGAATGTAGATATGGGTAGTGGTGACGTGTGCGCCTTTTATTGGAGGGAGTTTTTTTCCCTCCACACTTTGCCCCAAATTCCATTTTTAATTGAGTGACGGCTCCTATTAAAGAGGGAATTGAAACCGGTTTTTACTTTGCTTCAGAAACGGTTCGTGGTCTTTCATTATTAATCCGTCACACAAGACTTTGCAAGAGTTACATTTGCCCTTGCTGCACTTCTGCGTCCTTCATTCCATCGCTTCCATCGCTTTGTCAGGTTAGTTTCGCATCTTTCTCTTCAATCTTTCATTATGAGTACTTCATCTACTCCCGAACGTGTAGACCTTGGGGATTCTGAATCCACACCTTCATCTTCCCCCATTTGCATTAGGGCTCCCCCTCCTAGGGTTTCTACAGATCGCCCTTCGTTGAATCCATCAGGTACTTCCCCTCTTCCAACCGAAACATCCACCTCAGGCTCTGATTACGTTCTTACCCATGAAGAGAAGAAAGCAATCATCTCTATTCGCCGCATCAAATTCTCTATTGCTTCAGTAATGGAAGAATTTGATGTTCCTGAAGGAGTAGACATTGCAGAATATCCCGAGGGTGCCGATTTCACCTCCGGCGAGGGAATTGTGGAGGATGAGTTGCTTCTTTCGGTAGGGCACCGTAACGCCCTCCGATTCCCTCTTCATCCCTTCTATCATTTAGTTTTCAATAAGCTAGGTCTTGCCCCCCTTCAAGTAAATCCCAATTTCTTTCGCATTCTTTCGGCGTTGTTGGTGCGCCGGAAATTAGAGGCTCTGGATTTGACCCTTGCCGACCTTCTGCTTACTTACAATATATCTAAGCATGGGACCGAGCCTGGTCGCTTCTTTTTTACCTCTCCCCTTCATCAAAGGATATGCACGAACCTTCCTTCATCCGAAAAGAAATGGAAAGAAAGGATGGTTGTAGTTAAAGGAAAATGGTTCATGTCCCAATCAATTGCGCTTCCCATTCCGCGCAAATTCGGGAAATTAGGTATAAAATATTTAACCTCCCTTCATACCAAGTGTTCTGGCTGTTTTCCTTGCCAAGTCTTAATATTTCGCCGTATTTATGAATTTCTTGGTGTTTTTTCAGCTACATTCCCAGCCTCCGCAGCAAGGAACAGACTTTCTTTTCTTGAGGAACGAGTCTGGAGTGACCCCTCGCCTATCGAGGACCTGCTAACTTCCTCCAACCTCAAGGACATTGCTTCCAGTGCCGTTGCTGCAGACCTTATGGACCTGGCTTTACCATCCTTTGACAGTTTCCCTATGACCGAGGAGGAGATACGGCGGGCTGAGGCTTTAAAAAAGAAAGCCGGAGATGCCCAACCCTTGGTCGTCATTGGATCAACTGAGGATGAGGTGGAGGTTGAGGAACCACCATTGAAGAAATCTCGCCTCAACCCCTCTTCCTCTGGCAAGGGCAAAATCCCCTCTAAAAGCAGAGGGAAAAAAGCTGGAGAGGCCGAACCTGAAGATGAAGTCAGGGCCTTTGTTCTTGCTGAGACTGGGGCTCCTTGGACTCCTTCCTTCACCAGGGCTGATAGGTCAGTCCTACACTCAGGGGATTCTGTGGTTACAGACCCTTCAGCTGCACTGGCGGTGGCTCGAGGAATGT